TTTTCTATCAAAAAGAAAAAAGCTACCCAGCCATTTCTCAACAGATTGGGAAATTCATTTGGTTTATTCGTTATTGTAAAATTCGTTTGGTTTATTCGCGCTGCAAAATATGCTTCTAAATGCTGAGAAACTATGGATCATAAAGGCTTGTGTTATTTTATTTTTATGTTTACTTGGTGCCATCTCTCTAATCATGATTCTCAGTCTTAAACATTGAATTTTCTTTAAATATATCATCGAATTCACCTCGGATCCTTGTAAATCATCCTGTATTTTTTCTCTCATCACAGCCACGAAGCACAATGTTTCTCAGTCGCTTCTAGTTCCCCCTCGTATTTCAACATCTTTCTTTAAACTATTTTTTTAAGTCAATGAAAGTGTAATGAGATCACATTTTCAATCAAGATCTTTTAGGATTTTCAGCCCTTTGCAACCTTGACGTAAAGAACTACAGAGGAAGACACCGGTGCTTCTGTCGCGCCTCGCTGGGCCGCTGCTATAAAAGAAGCTCATTTCGCGTCACGGCGGCTAAGAGGATAGAGTTGATTGTAACGAGGGAGACTCTGCTTCAGGCCTCTCACACATGCATAATTAATTCGCCTTGGCTCACAGTGAAATTCTAACATCTAACATACCTTGTTTTGTGCCAGAAATTCGAGAAAAAGACATTTCTATGATAAATTAAAAATGCATTTTTTTATTACCCGGTGAACTGAAAGTTGAAGTTCAAGATTGAGAAAGATGAAGTGTTAGCAATGTGAAAGATGGAGTGTAGTGAAAGATGAAGTGTTAACAGAACGCGAGCAACTTTTTGGCACTTGATAACTGCAGTTCATTTTTGTCGTAGGCGCTGTGCATTAACCAATCTTGATTAATGATTTGTTAGTTTTAATTATAATCGTTTAACTTTTCTTCTATAATTGAGCTATTAATCATAATTTAGTACATCGTTTTACTTCTATATCACATTTTAATTTATTTTCCCCTTTTTTTATATTGAGAGTTTGTTGTTGCGCTTCCAGCAATGACTATCACTTTCCCGGTTTTGTTGCGTGAGAGCGAGCAGCATTTAATTTAAGTAAGACAGCATGGGTTGTGTCGCACAGAAAATGCATTTGCAAGCCAACTGCAACAGAGTTCATCAATCTTAGGCTGAAATTCATTATTTTAAGAGGAGGGAAAATTCGAACGAAATTTTCAATAGAAATAATAATGCAGGCAGGTAAAAATAACATATAATTGAACACATCATAAGATTACCGTAAGTAATTAGCATGAAAATTGGACATCCCAATAACAAAACATAAACAGGTAGACAGTTATTCGGCGTTCAGAATCAGTTTAAATTTCAATATGGTTAGAATTTCAGGAAAATTTGAGTTAGGGATAGAGGAATCGGGAAAAATAATGAGCTATGCATTCTCTAGATTCTGTTCAATGATTGCTGTAAATGCAGAAATATGAAATATGTAGCACCTGCGAGCTGAAAAATACTTGCTTTTATCTCTTCAGCTATCATGAAATGCTTAGAAAAGGTTCACTATTGCATGATTTTCTTCGATTTTTAGCTATATTTCTGGTGTTAAACTCCGGTCTCCGGGCAATATCTGTTGTTGAGAATGGTATCTACTGTAGGTAAAACTTTCATAGCTCATATCAACATATTAATAATACGAAAATATAACATTGAAACTCTCCCAATTGTTCGATACACTATTTAGTAATTATATATCCGAAGAAAAGTAGGAAAATTTACGACAAATTCACATCACGCGGAATAAATTTGACATCGTTCACTGAAGATCCAGCCTACCGCTCAATCCAGTTCAATCTCTCTTCTTGTCGAGCCGCGGGGCGGACTTTTATGGCCTTGGACTTGAAGTCCGCGTTCGTAAGCCGCCTTTCCTCATTCCAAAAAGTTACGCAACTCATCAAGGACAACTTGTGCGCAATCTCCCTTGGTCGTCTAAGGGGAATTTGACAAGTTCAACTGAGGTTGAATCTTTCGCTTTCCTTGAAAATTGGATAGCGTGGAAAATTGGGAGGAAAGAGGGAAGTCGCATGGTGAGGTTCAAACCAAATGGGGGAATAATATAATCGTTATAATGTTTAAATAACTGCGCTTATATATATTATCATTTGAAAGTGGTTTATTTAAGCATTATTTTCATACAGAATTGTTCGAGGTCCTTGATTTCCAGAATTTGTAGCACGGGCCCAAATTTGCCGATAGAAATTAGAATATTCTTTAGTAGAAAAACCTTTATGACAACTGAACTGAATATTTTAATTATGGAATTTTCCTCATCTGGTCTTATCTAGTGTTTCCCTGATAATTTTTCCAGCAGCTACCGGGAAAACTCGTTCGTGTGTGTGATATAATGATATTAATTAGAGTTATATTATAAAGTCCGCAGTGTAGTAATATATAAAGTATAGTCCACTGTGATAATATGTGATAAAGTATAGTCCACTGTGGAATTTGATAATCTCTTCTGTGCCATCTTCTCAATTTTATCATGTAATTGCGCTCGGAGTTCCTAAGTTCCTAACGTCCGTTTAAACTCCTGTAGTTTCCAATAGGGTTCCTCTTCACTTAGCAAATTTCCCGCCTAACTTTCTGGATGCCTTGCCAGTCAAGTTGTGAATGCTTATTTCTAACATGCATGCCAAGTTACTGCGCTCTAGATTGTTTGTTGACGACTTGATCTAACTCATTATGGCGTCTCGATAGACAGCCTATTTCTTCGTTTTTTCAAATTTTTCATTTAAATTTGAAGAACAGAATTTTTTAGAATTTATTCTCATAAAATTTGAAGTATGTGTACATATTATTATCCATGGTATATTGAGTATCGAACTTTATGATGCACGATTTTTTAAAGCAACTTTTTTTCAGCGCACAATCGAATTTTCTGCTGCGAAAATTGTTATGTCAAAATATTGGGCTTAACCCATCTACGCTGTAACCAATTTGTAATTATTGAAGTTTTCAATATAAAGCAAGAAGAAAAGTTCTTCTTTTCGGCACTCATAATTAATATGGGAAACAATAGTACTAATTTTGCCATTCAACAATAGCGTCGTTGTTTTATTTTAATAAAAGTACCACGTCTGTGCTACGGGCAGACATAATTTTTCGGATGGATGAACCTAGAGTGAATTTCTGTGTTTTTTTTCTAACATTTGTATGGGAATCTCTCGTCATGCCTGCATCCTGTTGTTTTGCTGTAAAAATTCACGTACTATTCGATATTTTTATTTGAAATAACAAAAAATATGATAAACTTCTGCTCGATCGTATTCAGCGACGTGATTTTGTATCCACATTTACTGAATTTGGTTTCTAATTCTAAGGAAATTTAACAAAAGCAATTGCTCATCACGAACTATATTTTAAGGGGAGCGTCTAGGGTAAAATTTTGGATTTCGGCTTTCCCGGTTTTTAGTCTCATCTTAAAGCTGACATTCTGATCTATCCAACGGTTCCAAAACCATCTCTGTACGTTGATTTATACGTTCACGACAGATCATGAAAGGGAGGGGGGTGGGGTAGTTCTTTAACAAATAGAATGGGAGGAAATTCGCTGCGAGCACATTAAATAGAGTGTCTGCTTGAAGTGCACCTTAGTTACTCGCCTGGCGTCGTATGAGGAGGTGTGCATGCAGTCACTCCCACCATCCTTGACTGGAATCAAGCTCCAGTAACGTTTAATTTTGTATCCTTGCTACATTGAGTGCCTATTCCGATGCGCACGGGACTTTGACGGGCTCTACTGAAAAGTTAACTTATTGTCACTGCAAACCTATCTCCTCCTAGAGTTTTCAAGCTACAACAATGAGACATATACCATTCGATGCGCAACAAAATTATCTAGAACGTAACACGGGCGTTTTTCTAATTTCGTTATAGTTTGGACTTTATCCCGCAAAAGGGGGGGTGGCGGGGAAGAAATCGAAAAATTTTCGAAAAATTTACGAAAAATGCTCCCACACCCACAAAAATGAGAAATCCTAAAAACCCTCGTGTTGCGTTTTAGATATGGTCTTTACGCATCGAATGATATGTGTCTCAATGTTGTAGCTTGAAAATCCTAGGAGGAGATAGATTTCTACGGTACCCCTTTTTTGGCCGTTTTCTAAGAATTTCAAGTTTTCTTTCATTTTTTCGAAAAATTCACGCGAACAAAAATGTCTTAGAATTCTATTTTACATATGTGTACCAAGTTTCAGAGTGATCCGTTTGTAAATAGCCGAGATAAATTTTACCCTAGACGCTCCCCTTAAAAAAATTGTTGAAAGTAATCTCAGTCGTAATGGACGAAGAGTAAATTATACGTTAATTTTTTGTATTTTTCTTGAATAGGCTTATTACCCATTCATTTGCCATATTTTCATTGTTATAATTTTTAGAAAGTATACCTAGTTATCATAATACCTTTTTTAATTTTTATGCAAATAAATAATTAAATCGCCATTAACTAAAATAAGCATACTAAAAGTTTTGAATTTTTACTTAATTTCAGGTCACATATTCTTGTTTACAATATTTTACTCACTAAACACTTTTCAAATTTTGTACTCCTGAAATAATTCTTATCTGTACATTGTTAGAAAAATTACTGTTAACGGTATTAACACCGTGTCGCCGTTATTATTCGAATACAACACTAGAAATCCGTAAAACATCTGATAAAAACGGCAAAACAGTTTATTTTCACGGGGCGACCGGCCACTAGAACGCCAGTGGGACCGTTTTTTCACCGTTTTTCTAACAGTATATTTTTATATTAGAATTTGCAAGCCCTAACCAACGGTTGAACTATACCGTGACCTTGATATAATTCTTATCTATTTTTATATTAGAATTTGCAAGCCCTGACCAATGGTTGAACTATGCCGTGACCTTGAAATAATTCTTATCTATTTTTTATATTAGAATTTGCAAGCCCTGACCAACGGTTGAACTAAGCCGTGACCTCGACCATACCTTGTTACAGACGGGCCAGCATGCCGGAGCAGAGCAACGACTACCGCGTCGTGGTGTTCGGCGCTGGCGGCGTCGGCAAAAGCTCCCTCGTGCTGAGATTTGTCAAGGGGACCTTCAAAGAGTCTTATATCCCCACCATTGAGGACACTTATCGCCAGGTATATCCCCACCATTGAGGACACTTATCGACAGGTATATCCCCACCATTGAGGACACTTATCGACAGGTATATCCCCACCATTGAGAACACTTATCGACAGGTATATCGTCTAAAACGATACTTTATTAGTTCATGAAAAGGATTATTTAGTGGAAGACCTATAAAAAAACCTTAATAAGTTGCCATTTAGCTTCTTTAATTATTAAGAGTAGTTATTTCATATGCTGCATTGAGATTAATCAGGGCTACGCAGTTACGAAGGAGCTTATGAATTATCATTTGTAGTTAATTAAACTTTAATTAAAGATTAATTATTAACTTATACGTGTAATTTAAGGTTGCGTTCATGACACAAGATCCAATATACACATTTCATCACATATATCATTTGATAAGATTCCAAGGGTCTTGGTAAGGCCTTCCACGAATTGTCTCTTATGGATGCAACTCAAACTTATTTGATGCCTGGTTGAAATACCCATGCATCAAATGCATTTAATTATCGCTTCGGACGATTGATTTTAAATGCTGATTTTCGATTCGGAGGCATGCAATAGCAAAATTATCTTTTATATATTTGATTTCCACAAGATTACTTGTTCATTGGCAAGGCGATCATTGAATAACTTCTTTTTTATACAAGAGTTTTTTTAACCTTGTTAACGTGTTCTAACGTTGTCATGTGTCGCAGGTGATCACATGCAACAAGAATATCTGCACGCTGCAGATCACCGACACGACAGGATCGCTTTTCATACATGATTTATTTTAGTTTGGTAACGTGTTGTAACGCTGTCATGTATCGCAGGTGATCACATGCAACAAGAACATCTGCACACTGCAGATCACCGACACGACAGGATCGCACCAGTTCCCTGCCATGCAGCGGCTCAGTATAGGCAAAGGCCACGCCTTCATCCTCGTGTACTCGGTGACCTCGAGGCAGAGTCTAGAGGAACTCAGACCGATCAGGGACGTCATTGTTGAGATGAAGGTTAGATTTTCAGAGCCTTTTAGGAATTGTTAGTTCTACACTGAGCGTTTGTAAATATACAATTATGTTATATTTATGTAAATGTACAATTATGTTTTACTATTTTAGAATTGGGTTTTTAAAAAGCTAATTAACTGCAAATTCTAAATCAAAGAAAATGACAAGGAATTTTTTTGGTTATGCTTATATTCGTGAAGTTTTTGAACTATTGATGGAGGTTGTGTTCAAAACTTTCTGATTGAAATTTTGCGAAGCTGCTTTGCATTACCTGCATTAAAATTCTTGGTTGATGCTGATTTTGAATTAAGACAATCTTGAGTTCTTGTATTTAAGTTCTCCACTGACAATAAGTTCGCTGATGCTCGGGAGTTTTGTTTAACGTAGTTTATACGATAAAGATAATCCTAAGTGGAGCGAATTGTAAAAAACTTAATTTTATGATGCTTTTACTGAAAGTAGGTGAAACTAGGTGAAACCTAAATTAAATCTAGGTAAAACCTAAATCTATTGAAACCTAAATTAAATCTAGGTGGAACCTAAATCTATTGAAACCTAAATTAAATCTAGGTGAAACCTAAATTTATTTTTTTTTATTTAAATTAAAAAAAATTCTAAACCTTCGTGAAGCTAAATATAAGGGTGACCAAATCATTCTCATTCAGACCAAACCCCTATTATGAAATATCCCATGGCGATAAATGCTTGGCAATGCATTTATCGGTGCATAACCTTCAGTCTGTGCAAGCGAGACAAGGCCACAGCTTCTGTAAATTTCCGGGCCAGATCGATGGTCGGCTAAACACACCGAGCATGCAACTAGCAGAAAAATAGGGCAAAATAGCAGAAAAAAGGCTTACGGCGCATTATTGCTAGTGGCCGATCCAGCTGTTGCTGATCATGGTATTGAGATGACCTTGCCTATATATTCCCTTCGTACACTATAATTCTTCAACTTTATTTCAGTTTATCTCAGCTACTTACCTTTTATCAAAAAGGCTTCCTGTTTCTTAGTGAGTTTTAATATGAAAATAATAACTATTAACTATTATGAATATTAACTATAATGACTTATTTTACCTTCAATAAGTGTTGTTCAAAATGTTTCAGATAACTTATTAGACATCTAAGATCTTACAAGTTCCATCTGGCAATTGGAAATGAAAAGTTATCATCCACTCTCTGCACGCACCCCTTTAACGATAAAATTTAAGTCAGTCACAGTTCTTTCTGCCAACTGTGGTGTATCCAATAACATAATTGGGCATACTATGTGCATGTACAATATTAACGCAAGCATTTTATAATTGAAAAAGTTATGAAAGTCTTCCATGAAATTAACACGCTTCGAAGGGACCATAACTGCCCCTGCACAAAGCGTTCTTCAGGGACTGGCAACGTCTTCCTAAGTACCTAATTATTTCGAGAGACAAAATTTAGGCATGAAGTTGAGTTAAACTTTTAACTCGACCAGTCTTTCGACTTTTGTTTGGGTAATTATCTTTCTCCGCTGAGCTTGATGCGATTAACAGAGGTTATTCTAAGTTCAGTTCAAATTATGTCCATCTTGAAGTTAATTACCTTAACAGATTCAAAAAAACAATGTTACATTTTCAGACATAGGCGCGAGTGATATACATTGATATATTTTATTTATTTGATACTTCGATATAAAATTAGCTAGACATTTGCAAACCCATTGTTGTAATATAAACAGTAAATTCGAGCCCATTGATGCGTTCAATTGTTCTCCGATTGAATTCCTGGCGCGAAGGACGATTGTTGGCAATGAATTCGATTTGTGTTTGAATGAAAAAAATATACGTAAACGTAGCGTCCTGATGAATACATCGTAGTCATTACAGTCAACGCCACCTGCTGATAATAATAATGAAAATGATGAGGATAATGATAATGATAATGATAATGATAATGATAATGATAATGATAATGATAATGATAATGATAATAATAATGATAATGATAATGATAATGATAATAATAATGATAATGATAATGATAATGATAATGATAATGATAATAATGATAATGATAATGATTATGATAATGATAATGATAATGATAATGATAATGATAATGATAACGATAATGATACAATGACGTACATCGCATGAGAAAACGTCTCTGTTAATAAAAAAAAATCAAATAAAATATCGTTTAAGTAATAATAAAAACATAACACACGAATAGAAAGATGATAAAGAATTTTTTTATATAATACAAAATTATTGCGAAGCTATCGGCAGTAAACCTTTTGAAATATCTCAACTGAATCCTTTATTTTTATCGTAATAGGATTTATCGTTATACTTTAATGCCTCGCTTATATTCTTTTGTTCCTATAATCTTGCGTAATATAGTTTTGAATAATTGTTAAAATTAACAATACAATATTAACGACTAGTAGACTTAAGAAATAATACATTTTATTTCCTTTCATCACGTAGAGAGGTTACGGACGAAGTATGTGTATATTAATATATATAAACTGGTGGCTCTGTTTCTGCACGATCTGATAAGTTTATCTCACGAGCGATATGACCAAGGGCCATATCGGTGATGCTTTTTCGTCGGTATATAAAATAAAGTTTTATGAGGGGCAGATTCTATTTGTTCCTTCTTCATGGGACAGGTATTTTTTAGTCCAACTTGGTCATTTTCAATGCCAGCCAAACCGATTCTCTTTAAACGGTATTATTAGACTGATAAATTATTGTTGCTTTGCTAACTACCTATAACTATAATTTTTAATTTTTTATATAATTAAATACAATTGTCTAATTTCTTGGTTGTGTACAGGGAGCTGAGCTGGACAACATCCCAGTGATGTTAGTAGGCAACAAATGCGATGAGGCAGAGGCGAGAGAAGTCCAGACCAACCTGGGCGAGGCGCAAGCCAAGTTGTGGAAGTGCAACTTCATGGAGACCTCGGCCAAAACAAACCACAACGTCAAGGAACTTTTCCAGGAGCTTCTCAACATGGAAAAAAACAGAAACATGTCGCTGCAACTCGATGGTAAAAGCAAAACCCAAAAAGGTACGAAAATGATCAAAGAAAAGTGTATGTTAATGTGAAGGTGAGATAATGAAAGAAATTAAAATAATTACGAGATCGATCGTCTCGATCTGACTGTGACGGGAGAAAAATAATCCCAAATCTGCATGTAGTGCAAAATGAATGACATTTTCGTGCACTAGATTGGAAATAACGATGATAAATGCACGATACAAAACTACAGCAGCACCCTAAACCTTAGGCACTGGAAATATTTTGGAATAGTGAGGGACCCTGAGCGTGAATGAAAGTGATTTAGCATGAATAACGGTGATGAATATTGCACCTAAAATTTGCTACAAATCAGTTATGATTTGTTTCAATATCTCAACTGAACTATTGAATGATGTCTATTGACTTTTCAATAACTCAACTGAACAATGAGATACGAATAAGTTATTTCATTTGAAATTTTTTACTGAGTCATTCTATTCCGAGTACGAGCGTTAATTAAATGACACGATATGCATCGTTTATATTCCATCCATTGTCTATCAAACAATGGCCGGCTGCTCAAGCAGCGTTTCTGTTCAGTACTTTCCTGTAATCTTAGTGTGCAAAATATTTTATGTAACCTGAAAACGTTTCGTCGTAATTGATGTGTGGGAAGAAGCTATAGGCACATTTTTCCTTCAAAAATGTCAAAGAAGATAATCACAATCGCCTCCATCGCGCGATGGAGGCCGCTGTCGACCGTTCTGATTTTAAAAATTAATATCTAGGGAAACTTTATATCTATCGCTCATGTAATTGTATATTCGCTCTGCTACTTGTGTTGAGGCTTCATTCCTACAAAAATCTCTTATTTCTTATAGCTTCATTTCTGGCGAAAAAAATTTGAATGATCTAGCTATACCATCACCAGCTCTAATCAAAACATATAAACGCAGTTAGTTCTTAAAAATTCGGTTTCAAAATCATCTAAGACGTGATGTCACATTGATTATAAATTAAAAAAACTTCATTTCCACCTTAGGTATAAGAACCTCATCATTCATGATTCCCCTCACCTGAACTCCCCGGGAAGAAGCACCGCTTAGTTAAAACCGCCTTCGCCTTGGTTTTGACCAAAACAGACTTGATTTTATTGATGAGTGAGATCCTTGCGAGTATACTATTTTCCATACTTCAATCCATTGATTAGTCACTACAAAATTTACATTAAACCATAAAATCTATTTTTACACAATATTTTCAAACATTTTCACCATTTGTAACGGTATGGATGACTATATATGTTCCAGAACGTTCCTCGCTCTAGTTTTACATGGGAAGCAAAACTGGCTTGACTGAGCACTTGCAATATCATTTTAAACGCTAAGAAAAAAGTATTCGTCGCCTCGTTAAGCTGAGAAAATTTCTGGGACATAGTCAGTTATATGTTATAGATTATCGTGAGGTCAAAGCTGTGTTGTCATAGCTGGATGGGTGTGATTGGGATTTTGGCTGCAGAATTTTTGACATTGACTTTTATGTGAACCAAACACCGTCGTAAATGACATATGAAAAACTTTATGAAGCCAGTACCAATAATTTTAGCAAATTATTTGTTAATGATTAAGAAATTTAGATAAAAGTTTGAATATATCATTTAATGTTCTTGATAAATGATGACGCTGAGAAGGAGTTCTTTGTGAAGTTGATGATTCTCGTCGAGAAAATGTAGAATTTTAATTCTTAGTTAGCTAATGTAATTTTAGTAAATTAACCAACTCTATGAACATAGCTAGATATTTAAGGTTTTTAACGAACTAACAATGAATATAATCATACTCCTACCGAACGAATGCAAATAATTCAATATGAAATCAAATACTTTTTCAAAAGAAAATCCAGAGAGTCACCTAATCTCATCTCACAATCACCTCTGATTGTCTCTTCTCACAGTCCCCTCTGATTGTATCTGATCGGTTGGCCTAAAGTCCCATTGATCTATAACGTTAATAAAAATTATTCCTAAAATAAATGCAAGCCCGTGAATGTGAAGATATAGTAAATTTGTAAAATGTATTTTTGAAAATTCTTTCTTATAAATCTGCCCGGAGACAAATATAAAGCTGTATGAAAACAGTATTGACATTACTCAGGAGGCTGACCAGTCTCAGACTCCTGGAAACTTTGCATCTGAAAATAAAATTCGGAATGCAATTCAAAGCAACGAATAACGATCTCTTGTCACTTTACACTCATTATAGTCATTTGAATATTTTGGATATAATTTTATTTTCAGCTAGGAATTTCATATTAAAATAATTCAATAATAATATTCAATGTATATATTACAGTATTTTACTAGTGACCTCGTTCCCATGAATAATATTTGGAACTTGACGCTGCAAAAACTTCAACTCTTCAAATATTCAAAGATTCAATTATTTTTAAGTCAAACTCCAAAATAGTTTCGAGGACTACAGTGAACTTCTCAGAGTATTTTTCACCATTGTGTTCAGTACATTAAAGTTCGTTATTAAGCTCTCGAAGCTATTAAATTCTTATTAGACTTCGTACAATGTAAAGAATTTATTTATAGGAGGCGAGACTTCAATTTATCTTCACAGTAATGCTTATAGAGTGCATGTTTCAGCTACAGTAGATTATCGAGCTGTGGTCGTGTTATCGAAGGCTCCTTGCATTTAATTTTGAATAAGATTCACTGGACTTCGATTATTTACAGAGCACAACCTAAGCCAACGAATTTAATGTTTCCGAAAATAATACTTGCCATATATCCTGTATCCTGATAGCTGTAAAAAATAATGAGACTTGAAATTTCTTGGTAAGTTCTGGATTCTATATTTTAATAACGTCTAGTTACAGGAGTTCAAACTGATATGTACAATGTGAATACATTTTCCCTTTTTCGGCTTAAAATGAATTCAAATTCTCCCCTCAACACTCATACCTTCTCGTTGAAGCTGTCTGATTGTTTCAAGCCGATAATTAAAAAATGATTTTGTTAAATTTGTTTTTAACGTTGATGTAAAAGTTTATAATTACACTAATTACTGGAACAATTTACTTGTAATATTTAACAATTTATTTGGATGTAATTATTACCAATTGCCTACAGTCCAGAGACTTGAGTGCCGCAGCGGAGTATAGGAGCTTGCGGTAGCACGACTATAACCTTGCCTAGCTTTACCGCGCAATTTCTACAGTTATGAAAAGTTGTCCTAGTCAGAATCCTAGCCTGCGTATCGACGTCCACTAAATAGCTGAAGGTTGAGTGATTTGATCTCAATAATTCGAAAATGTGATTTGATCTCATTCATTAGAAATTATGATTTCATCTCATTTATTAGAAGTTGTGATTCGATCGCAGTCATTCAAAATTGTGATTTGATCTCATTCATTCGAAATTCTGAACGGTTTAAATTCAAAAAAGCGGCTGAATGTTGGGTGTCGAAAACGTAGGTGGGATTTAAACAAGGGTGCGTGCATCCTCTGCAACAATGTCTTCCAAGAAGGATATTTTGAACCAACCCTCGTCTCTTGCATGCAATATCTAATGAATTTCTCGCAATTTGGGTGATTAATTAAGATAAATAACGAAATTTTTACGAACAAATTTAGCGCTGAAAATAAACATGATGAATAACGGGATATGAACAGTGCAACATCACAATTTTCCCCTTCTGCGACGTTTGGCAGATATTAATGACTGTGGTGGACTTTTATTTGCTTCATAAAGTGCAGGACTACATAAGATTCGTTGCACTTAATTATGCTATTGTAATGGGCTTAGCAGTGCTCAATATTTATTTCTCTTTCTTCACTTAAATTGATAATGAGACGATTTGTAATATTAACACAATCAAAACTTGTCGAATTCCGGTCTGGTGGTGAAGAGGTGTAAAGTTTTTTCTTTTTGCCTAAAAAGCAGAAGTTTGAACGATTGAATTGTGACCAGAGTTCACATTTAACCGTTCAACCTTTCGCTGAACAATCTTTGAAATTAGGTTACATCGAAATGGTTTGTCAAAAACCTTAAAAATTGCAAAAGCGACAAAGGAAATAACATGAATTTATTGATTTACGCAGTGAAAATTTCTAAATTTGTATGGTTTACTTGTTTATCATCACATTCCTTGGAAAAGAGATTGAATTTTTAAAACTCGAACCATGTGGAAGTATATTACAATAAAAATATATTTCATATTCATCTGCGAAGAATATGTGATTTTTGCAGTTGAAAGATAATTATCTGCCTATAAAATTAAGTGAACTATAAATTATTGATATAACTTTCTCCAATAACTGCAAAATTATTTCAATAAAGTTATTCTGGAAATTTGGAGGCCTTTTCGGAGTCTGACACATATTTTAGTAACTTGGATCAGACTGACATATCAGATTCTTTATTCCTTGATCATGATTATTTTTCTCCGTTCAATATAATTCAAGAAAATAATCTAAAGCATGGATATGTTTTTTATGTTTTGTTAACGAAACTTAATTTTCGATGTGTTTTATCGGGAACTTATTTGATAGTTGTTATAGTTAACGATCTGAAATTTTCCTTTTTGGAATATAAAAAACATGAAAACTTGTGAAGTTATGTTCAGTGGACCACGTCATTTTATTGTGAAAGTTACGATATTCTCATTAATTGGATTGAAGGGGAGGCGTCATGTTGTATTTAATATCTGCAATGTAATCGACATGTCTACCATGGTGTTAAGATAATTAAATAATGATTAGGGAATAAATATAATTGGACCACAAATAAACCTTGACTTGGTGAGCACAGATGATAGTAACCTCAAATCATTATAAGAGATACCGAAGTGAATGGAAAAAGGAAGGGATCACTTCCGAAAGGGAAGTGATGCCGAAAGCTTTACATAATAGAGACAGGCGGTCAACGTTTAATTAGACCGAGTTATAATAGAAGTGTTCGACTATCATTTTAAACGATGTCAAAAGAAGTGTGATACTCATTGGTTAATGTCCATGCATTGCATGCAAGCGCTTGCAATTCTTTCAAACGTGCACAACGAAAGATAAAAGCTAGCAATGAGAAGTGATACATTATTAGTGTAAATAGTAATATAAGTTGTGAGATCATTGCGAAAATTAGCGTTGTAAGAAAACAAATTAATAGTGGTTATTATAGAAAACTTATGTTCATAGTGTTATAAGTAAAATAGTTACGAGCGTTGATAGATGCGTAATGAAGTTTTACCATATATTTCTTCCTGATATGGAATGTTTCTCGGAGGAATTTTTCAGAACACTTAAAATATTTGCATCATTTGAAATTTATTTTATTTAGTTTGTTAATTTTTCTAAAATTTACTTTGGATAGAAGTTCAGACTGCGATGCGAGCTACGTTCTAGGAACAATCGTTGAATGGCATATGATTCTCCTAGCATTTGCTTGTAGCCCAAGACTTCACGTTATGGCCGCTTCCTTTGGCTCTCATTTTTGTTAAGCCTATTTTCAGACGTAATCATGCTTCAGAAGTTACATGATTGCGAATCTACTGATTTTTTCTTATAGTGATAAACATAATAATGCAGTCAATTAGTAATGTCCTGATCAGCGGTGAACCATCAATAGTTCTATTTTAAATTAAACTTTATCGCTCATATCGGTTCCGAAATCACGCTAATTATTGGAAATTAGGAAAAAATTCGGTTCGAACACCTGAAGATTGTTTTGACTCCGGAGCTTATTTCCGGTAAGCAGCAATAGAGAAAAGTCATGTATGAGATTGCCACAATACCTACTTTCGCTCATACAATCTCTGATTAAATGTTTCTCAGTACAAGAGAGCTTTTGAGTTTCTGGTGTGTTTGTTTTAGTCCGCAAGCCTATTCCCGTACTGGAGTAAACCTAATTTAGAATGTGATATTTACCCATTTTTTCGATTGCTGAATAACGTAATTATGGAAAAATGTTTTAATGTGAATTAAAATCGATGGTATGACCACATCAATTTTTATGAATTAGGCGTAATCTTTTTCAATAAGCTTGAATTAAGTGATTTAAGTGATTTTGCAGAGAGTGATTTTGCGCGTGATCCCAAAAATATGCAACGACGGATTTTAATACTTCGAAATTTTCCACCAGGCCACCAAATTGAACTGCTAAACGGTAAAAAAAGGTTTGGTAAATCAAACAGAATAGTTTATTTATATTTTGTCTTCGACAACAAATTGAAGATCGTGCTATGAATAGAACATGCAATTTGTTTACGTTATTTCTGTGCATATTACAAATTATGTAGCGTTCGCTTAATGATATGAATTTGAATTGTGTACTGCACTTGCGTAGGCACTGTTTCTTTATATTTTTTATTGTGTGTTCCAGTTATGTGGTGAACCTGAAGCAGATTTACAATATACCGACCGATCTCTAAATATTCTTTGATCTTTAATTTAGTCCTTATTTTACATTTAATCATATACATTCGACTAATAATTTGAAATTCAACGAAGAAGTGAAGTAATTTCAACTAAACATTACTGTCTAGGAACTGATTAAACCTAACTAGGATATATCAAATTACTTAAATTAACAAATGTAATAGGGATTTAAGTGACTAGGATGATAAATATTAAGCGTGAATTTTAGATTAAATATCTGCCATTTAATCTCCAGATAGATTACTGAGCTAACCTTCAACTAATTAATGCGATTTCATGTAGTATATGAAAATCTCAAATGTTTATGCAGCTAAATAATAAGGATATTCATTAGAAATTGACTGTCGCATAAACTGAAACTATTCTTGCTTCCCTTCATATAAAGACACGAAAACAAATTCATTTAAAAGCGTTTAAGAAACTCGTTTTCAATAGTGCACCAATTTTTTTATCTATATTATTGGGTGAAAATCAGTCGCATAAGAGTACCTGAAACTGCGAAGCATGGGATCGAGGGATCTAACCTCCATTTGCTACCGTGGACTATTTAAAAGATAATGTTGATTATCTTACCTCATATTTGATTAACGCTGGCTAATCTTTAAATCGATTGCCAATTCAAGCACGAAATAGTATTTATTTTGACCAAATAACTATTAACTATTTAAATACCTCTAGAATTTCTCAATAAACCTTTACTTTTAATTTCACAAAGATTCGTTTGAGTTAAAATGAGTTATATTGTGCCGATCCGACCCAGTCTTATACATACAAGTTAATAATTGTTAAAATATCGGCTTACGAACTATAATTAATTTTGAGTGATAACATAGTAGCATACATTTCAAAAATTTCCGCCGCATTAAATTGCATGGGTCAGTTTAATTTTGGAGATCTTTACTAAGTAACTGAACATTGCAGACATTGATAAAGTGATTTTACAGACCTAGAGTAACAAATGGAACGGGTTCGATCTCGTCAAAATAATTGAACTGTGCAGACTACCTATAAGCAAAGTAAATGGGCAACATATAGACGATTTACCATGTATTTGAAATGAATAAAAAACTAATAAATGAAATATAAAATATAATCCCATCATCAAGAAAACGAGTAATCACTTTCGGTGAACTTTAGACTAATTATATCTGTCTGTATACTGTATAGTATGACCCGGGCACGAGGAAACTTTTCGTTCATTTACTTTACCATAAATACAGATGAGATTATTCAAAATTTTACATAGAGTAGAATAAATCTCCCAGCGTTGAGGGAGAATGTGTTAAAAACTTTAATAAACACGTTCATTCCAAGACGACGACAGGAAGGGAATAAATTTGATCTAAATATTCGTAACTACAATTGCATGAGATATGTCCATGCGTCCATACATGATAGTTCTACTTTTTGGTAAATAATCGCATTTATATTTGACCCTGAGAAGTAAAAAATCAATATCGGAAGAATATGTTATCTGCTTGACGTCTATTTTGGTGATTCCTAGCAGCTGTAAACTGTAAGCGAACAGATGTCGAAGTCGCGTAAACTGTCTCTGCTTCTGCCGTCAGCCAACACGGCTCGATGTCTCAGTTCGTGGCGTACCTTCTGATCTACCGGACAGAATTTCCAAAAACCCTCGCAGTGGTCATTTCAGTTCATGATTGCGATTCATAGGTTTAATTTGGAAGCTTTATAGAGTTTGGTCAATGAGATATTCAGAAGCTGTTTTCAGCTCCGTACTTGCACTCAATCACTCAATGGCGCTCATCAGTCAGTGCCGCAAACCTCGATCAGCGATGCTTCAATTAATTATAATAGTTACGTGAACTTAAGATTTAGACAAAACTAGAAGAAGAACTTCAAGAAAACTGAAAATAACTTAGAAAAATCGTGCCCAGTATTCTAAATTTTTAGCGTACCTTGGTGTAGGCTATTGTAACAGTGCGCTAGAAAACTTCTACGTAACTTAGTGTTGGTTATTGTACTTGTGCGCTAGAAACAATCTTTAGACTAGATAACTTACATATCTTGATGGAGCACAGCCAACAGTTTAGCAGTTGGCTGTGCTGTTTCATTATCTCAAAAGAGAAAAATACTAATAGTAATGATAAAAAATAATAATATATAAAATTAATATTAATAATAATAATAATAGTAATGTGTATGAAAATAATAATAAAATAATAGCAATAATAATAACTAGGGAAATAGTTCCGGTACGTCATTTGCAATCAATTCAAAATTGTTGTGATAGCTTGTGCAAATGAAACAAATACATTTATACCAATGTAAATATATAAAATAAACGACATATAATAACTAAATATTTTTTTTCAATTTGAAGATTCATTATAAGGACAACTGTCATAACCAAATTTTAGATGAAATCTAATAAAGTGAGTAAGAACTTCAAGTGAATGCGACCGTTCATGAATATACTGAATGAGAGACTTGAATAAAACCAGCCTAGTGATTAAACAAATATCGTCTGATAATAATACTTCGAAAGAGAATATAATGGAGTAAGTAAAGATATAAACTTTTTGAGATCATGGAGAGTTCACCAGAGGCGGCGTTGATAATAGCTGATAGACCCCGAAAAAGTAATCTGTTTAAGACAACATCTACTCAAAGCGTGAAAACAAACGCGTCTGAAGACCATGAAATAATTGATAATTTAACGTGGAGGCAAAGATTAACGAGCGCTGTGCAGAAATTAACTCAAAGCAGCAAGTTTAAGAAAGGTTCTCGTTACTTTTATTTGCTTATCGCCTTCGTTTTCTACACAGCTGCAGGCGCTAAGGTAAAAAATTCCACTTGAATGAACAAAATTTTCAATGGAACTAACGGAATCAAATTATATATCCTTTATATTTCATCAAATTTTCATCAAATATCATTAGGTTATTGAACAGTTTTGGTAGTGTTCGATTTTTCCCGCAGATATTCCAGGTGCTGGAACAGGATCTGGCTCTACAGGTGGCCAGGCAGACGGGAGACCTTCTGCTGCAGGAAAGACTGAATTTCATCAAACTGATCGAAAATTCGACACCAGGTGAAACATTTATGACTAAGAAAACCTTAATATTCACCCATAATACGTAATAATCGTATCTATATGGCACTAGAAATATGCAACGGCATTGGTGTAGGGAAAAATTACTGTCATTACAATCAAGGAATTTTCACTCAATGTAATATATGAAGTTTCCATTCAAAAATTGTGTGTCTATGCACCTCAAATTACTAACATGAAAACAATTCAATTACGAAGAATATCAATCGTTATTTACGGAATGCGTTTATGCACAGCATGACAGAAAGTCATTTGGGCGATGTATAAAATGCAAAAGATGGAGAATTTTTTTTTCACATTCAATATAAGTCCGCGTTGTGACAAATGGTCTTGTATGTACCGTAGATGCGTAGGCAAAGTCATCCGCGTATAGAAAGGTTCACAATCAAATGTTTCCTTTTGTGCATAGCATTGTTGTGGTGAACAAGCTTTTCATTGGATGTTTTTCAATTATTTGTGCTGGATTCTAGGATCGTTAATAATATGTTTGCTAATAAAAATTTTAGCATTACTTATTTCTTCAAAAGTTCATCTCCAAATTTCCCAGAATTTTCAAGTCTTTGTCAAGAGCCCGATTGACATTTGTTTTTATTTGGAGTCTTCGAGTTAAAGCTGAACATCACAACACGAAATGTTTTAACAAAATTTTAATTTTAAGCGGCTGCGAGGAGCCACTCTAAATTGCCTCTAAATTTGAAATTCCAAAAGGAACTACGACATTCAAGAATCATGTTTATTATAATGGGATACGTCCATTCACAATTTTAGATGTTATTCATAATATCATATTAATATGGTAGCATCAGCTTTGACTATGCTATATTGGCCTGTCACTTTTTTCAATTAAAAACCCGCCCACCTAGCTGATGTCGGCAAAGATTTTCAAAAATATTGATAATAAAAAACTTTTTGCACGTTTTTAATTCCAAGTCATTGCTCCAATATGGTGCTCATAACCGCTTGGCCACCCGAGATAAAATGAGTGAAATTATTTCAGGCGGGTAAATGCTCAACAATTCATGTGCAAGGACGTTGTATGAAAAATAAACATTCTCATACATACGAATTATACATTATTAGAATTCCCCGTTAACATTTCATTCGATTAAAAAAAATTTAATTATTTTTACAACCCATATATTGTGTAACTCATCTTCGGTTATTATCTTCCATCGATATTGTAATGATCTTTTCCCTTATTATCTGTTCCGTTGTGAATACAATATTTTATACTTAAATCTGTATTTAACAGATAACTGGACTGTCTTCGCAAAAGGCTTGGCTCAGTACGAAGCAGCGCTAGTAGCTGCCGCTGATGCAGGAGTTCAGGTTCTCCTACAGGTTCAGGTCAGATAGAGTCCTTATTCTTTGTATTTTCTGCTCGATTTTTTATTTACATGAGACGATTCTTTGTCATTTTAAGCAACATAGGACAATTTTCTGCTCGATTTTCTTAAATGAAACGATTCTCTGTTTTTTAAGTAACATGGGACATTTTTTATTTTAAATATCATGCGCAGGAGGACGGATCGACGGCGATCACGACAGTGTCGGAAGATCCCTGGACGTACGAGCTCTCCGTGTTCTTTGCAGCGACTGTCCTCACCACCATTGGTAATATCTTGAGATGTCTTGCGTCTTCTCGAAAACTTAAAAAAATCGTGTGAAAACCTAAAAAAAGCTATGGTATTGAAACGCTTTGTACAGTTTCAAAATACTTTGCAATGTACATAAATAGATGGAAAAGCTTGACACAACTCAACTGAGTTTAAATAAAGTAAACAAGTTGAATAGAATGGTCTCTCCATCGTTAAAAGTGCCAACATCCAATTTTTTAACCCTAATGTGCAAAATTGTGCATCTGCGTAATGCCAAGTAATGGATTTTTTTTACAAAAACGTTAATTCGCCCAACTTGAAGTTTGCAGAATTTTTTTAGCCGAATTGAGGTTAACGGCAGTTAGCTAATTAAAATGGACTGTGGACGTTGCAGCTCTGTATTATGGTATAAGCTCATATGATTTTATCAACATTAGGCATGCCAACAAATAAGCTGTGCGCAGTAGTAAAAAAACATTTATGAACTAGGCGTTTCATATTAGAATCCCATTATGTTGGTCGGTCAGCTATTTCTAGAATTTTTAGAAATGGCTGACTGGTTTTGCCAGACAAAAAAAAAATGTTGCAAGTGCAGGTGTGGTAGGACGTTACTTTAATATCATTCTCTTCTCATTTTCAAATTCAGTTGTTAATAGTGTGTATCATTTTCAGTCAAAAGATTATTTTTTGGCCGAATATTGATTAAATAACAGAGCATTATAATTTTCTTAATTCGATGCTCGAATCTGCGGGAATGGAGCCTTGTTTTGTAGTCGCGCATACGTGTAGCATTTATTTATGTGCATATTGGCCTTCTAACCCAACGCAGCACTTCCGAGCGAAAAATAAATAATTTAAAATAATTGTAATCTTCGTTGAGACGCTAGAATTTAGTTTCTAATTTAGAATCAGTATATTAGTCTCAGACTATAGGACTTTAGCCAAGACTAGAGACAAACTAATAGAAAGAAAAGACAACATTTTTTACCATTGCATGTATATATTACCAAATGCCAAGTATAATTTCTTCTAAAACTGCAATTTAGAATAATACAACTTCAATTTAATTATCAGAAACAAAATTTTCTTTCTTTTTCCAATAGATTATAATTAAGAACTACGCTCAACTAACTTTCAAAATATGGATGGGAATATCCACTCAATGAGCATGTAATTTTTGAAATAACTCATGAACCATCATTAAAAGGTATTGGTGGTAATTTATTTATTTCATAGGTGGTTGACAACTACTAAGTTCTTACTCATGACTCAGGGTACGGAGATGTCGCTCCCGTGACTGTGTGGGGCCGCGTGTTCTGCATCGGTTTTGCGCTGCTAGGCATCCCGCTGTCGCTCTCATTCATCGCTGCAACTGGAGACTTGCTCGCCTCCTTTGCTGCATATCTTCCTATCAAGTCCATCTCTGCGGCCATACCCAAGTCAGCCTCGACTGTTATGCCCGGCGAAAAATATTGACAAATAATAAAATTAGAGAAAAAGAAAACTGGCCAATTTAATTTAATGACCCAAAAGATTGAATACAAGAATTAACGTTAGAACAGTAACAGCAGTTATGCAAGAATTTAGCAACAAATGGTGAGTCTGAAATTTCTATATACTATAGATGAAAACCTCTTCGAGACCAATTCCTTCCTAAGTTCAAAAAATACTTTAATATAGCTAAAATCAATTGTTATGACTAATTTTATACGGTAGATTCATGAACCTGAAATTTAAGTACCCGAGGTGAAAACAAAAATTTAGGCTCTTATTCGGACATGGGTGCGCCGCAAGATTCGGTGCAAGGGATCGCAACTGAACGAGGTGGGTACAAGTACATTCCCAGTACTGCTGCTACTTTTTTCCGCCAATTTAATGTAAAAGGTTTGGGCTGAACCTTTTACATTACATTTTACCGAAATACATTTTTATCGAAATCTACGAACGCTGATGAACACAATTTGACTCTGGACAGAACGTGTTTAAAATTCGGAACGTATCCAGTGAGCAGGATTCCAAATTCTTTAGAAATTTGGAGAATTTTTCTTTGAAAAATTCTTTGGAATTCTTTTTGTGGCTGGACTAAAGAATAGTAAGTGCAATACTTAATGCTACTTTTCACACATCAACCTCATGAAAACTTTCAGAATATCATTTAAATATTTTTTAATGTCCTTAAATCGCTAACGGAATACCCAAGATTTTATAGTACTTCAAAATCATTTAAGACTCATTAGTAGAACACAGTCCAGTTTCAGATATGATTAAATTTATTAATAAATGTGCTAAATGTGCAGAATAGTATTTAATTTATATGATTGTATATGAAGATTTGTTAGCAATATTCTGAATTGTAAATTTGTTTCATCAGAGGGAAGCGTCGCACGCTGGTGGCAGGACTGGGCACCGTGTCACTTCTGCTGGGGTTCATCGCCGTCGGTGGTGTGATGTTCCACCTGCTCGAGGACTGGCAGTTCCTTGATGCCTTCTATTTCTGCTTCATCACCACAACCACCATTGGTTTTGGAGATTTCGTGCCCAGTAACTATGAAATGTTAAACATTGAGAGTTTTCTTTAACAACCAGGGCAGTAAAAAGGCATGAAAGGCTGGTAAATGGTGCCGTTCTGTTTTCAAAAAGAATGACAGCGTCCATTCAGATGATGTCAACATTTTGATGTTCATTATTTGCATGCCGTGTTCTACGTTGAATTCTGTGTTGAAATATTCCTAAACAATGACTTTTATTGCAATAAGTTCATTTGCTCTATACGAATTATAATGACCAAATTTAGCCGTTATTAATTTGCTGGCATTTGTTAAACTGCCAAATTTGAAAATTTACATAAGCGAACAACTTTGCTACTTTCCTAAAGCATGAATCCACATGACATTACACACAGTGATAGTAACTGAACATTATTTCATAAAACGATATCAGCGTCAGTAAATGTACATCATTGCGTATAGCTATTGTTGCGATAGTAGTAACTGCATTGCATATAGCGATATCAGAGTTTGTAAATGTACATCATTGCGTATAGCGATTGTAGTCACTCATCATTGCGTATAGCGATATCATCACTGCATAGTGATGATATAAACAAAACATCATTGCATTTAACGATAGGAACGATAGTAATTGCATTTCATTATGAACTTCAGGCCCAGACTCGCTGCGCTACTGCACGGCCTACATCATGCTGGGCCTGGCGATCACGTCTACTGTGATAGAGTTGGTACGCAGGCAGTACGCTGAGTCCTGGGCTAGGATGCAGGAGCTGTCCAGCAGACTACATGGTCTGTCCTCTCCTCTAGCCGTCGCTCTCAGGAGGATGGCTCTTACCGGCGCCACTGAAGTCTGAATGATTCTGGATTAATTAGTTTATGGAGATTTAATAGGGAATAATGATTAAGCCGCAGCCAGTAACTGCCTATGATGTTTTAATGAAGTTTTTCGATAATTTACGTGTTTATTCCGTCCATGTTTGACGAAAAAATTATGATTGCATTGGAATAATCTAATGGAATGATCATTTTTTATTATAATATAGGGATCTGATTCACATATGGCTGTCTGAATCTGAAAGTCAGTCATCGCTGGAAAATAAATTACTAAAGCATCTTCAGTTAATTAGAATACTTTATTCTATTTTCTATTCGTATTTCGCAAATTTTAACAAGCAATAACACTGCAGATGGACTTGGACCCGGAGCTGATGAGGCAGCTGCGTGACATGAACAGAGCGCTGGCCGAGGCTGACCACAGGGACGTCGAGGACGATCCTTGGGACGAACTTTTGATCATGGCCGAGAAAAAGAAAAGAATTACTTTCGTCATGTACGAAAGTGCCCTCTAGCTTCTTTTTCAAACTTGCAAAAGTTCTTCAACGCTCTTGTTGAGGTTAGATCCTACTAGCTACTTTTTTTCAGTCGTGCATAAGTCCTTAAACGTTCATATTAAGATTATATCCTACGTACCAGATCCTTCTTTTTTTGTAAGCTTAACTGATCAATTTTAAGGAGCAAAAATAACAATAAAGACAAGAAAATTTATCTACGAGAATCGCATTGTTGATGATTCTTCATAATAAGAAAGACACATTTATGAGCTTGTCTCTTCAAGAGATAATTTCCACAAAAAATACAATATTACTAGCTTGAAGCCTTTGGATGTCTAATCTGAGAGAAATGAAATGTGAGTAACTCTCGAGTCACTATAGGAGCATAGGGAAATGATAGACAAGACAGCTTTATTTAAATCATTTTTATTAAGAGCACGTTACGTGCCATGGGTTATTTTGATCGATAAATATATAGAATTCATAGTTCAATAGCTGGTAATCCTGATCTGATAATTCGTGATGCATCTCTTAAGAGGGGCGAAAATGTCACTTCCGAAACTTGTTTGTTCTAATTATTTTACGAAGTCGCGAGCTATTTGCGAAATCATTTGTAAAAAATAATGGAAAAGATCACAATGGAATAAGTAATTTTAAGAAACGCTCACTGATTTAAAGAACTGATTTTATTGACATTCACATCTATAGATTTGTTCGCTTCCCATAAGCCAGAGAGAGTTTGGTCGTGAGACTTTTAACGGGAAATAAATTTATGCCACACCATTTCCTTTTTTATTCACTACTTGTTTTTCCTTTCAAAGTTTTTGGATTAAATTCGATAGGGCCGTTGATTTCATGCACCTCAATATATAGTGCACAAATTAATGAATTGTAATAATTTATCAATATGAATATTTCAAGGGGCGACTCATCATTTCAATTTTGAAGAACACTATATTTAATACATTTACCAATAGGGTTTTTCCCCTTGGAAAATGTGAACAATGTTTTTATTGGTATTTTCACAATCGTACTTATGCTAAACTTTGATCCAGGTTTATTCCGTGAAACAAAATATACGTCTGACTAATGGCCAGATGAAAATTAGGATGTATTCTTCTATTGTGTTTTCAAATTGCGACGAAATTATTTTCGCTTATGATTGAGTGCTACCATAATTATTGCAAGCCTTCCATTGGATAATATTCTGGCCCACCTGTAAGTTGAGCTCGCATGCTTGAGTTTAATGCAAAGGATTTTTTTAATTCTTCCACAAACTTACGGAAAGCTAACACAATCAATTTTAACTATACTGGTATTGTGCTGACGGGGATCATTTAGATCAGCAATGAATTTTATGCCAAAAAGGTAAATGGATTTCCATCATGCTAAGCAACAATTATTGTGGCATTCTTGAACCTGATATGCGATCTAGGTTTGTTTAATCAAAGGCTAAAAAGTCCCATACGAACCAGTTGGATTTTGAAAATAACTCAGTGATCTGTGAATTATTGATTGAAATCAATTTTAATACAAAAAGTTTATCAGGATTACTTCCGGATCGCAACCTAAGAACTACCATCGCTCTCAAATGACCGAGAAGTTATTTCACATCAAATCAACAACATGATCTCTGCATGACAAATGACAATATTAAGGCTGGTTATAAATTGAAAGGCAGCGGGTCGTTGGCGTCGGCCACTGACTTCTCAGCGCCGTCGTCCCACTCCTGCAGCAGCTCAGACGACACCTCCGTGAAGAGGCTGTCCCACCGCCACTCCACGTCCGGCTGCACACAAATGCGTCCGGCTTTTAGTGAAAAATTTTCTATATACAGCCTTACTGGTGCAGGGATTTTGAAATACGCGTATTAGGTATGATATTCATGTAATATCGATAATTTTGTATCGCTCAGAACAATAGATTATCATGCTGACTGAAGCAAAGCATGATGAAGCAAGTTGATTGTTACCTGAAGCTGAGTCATCCTTGTATGGATAAATCTATCTATTTATAAATATACTGTATCTATAAATAACTCTATTTTTTCAGGTATAAATATATTTATAGTTAACTCTTTATCTCCAGGTATATAGATAGTTATACTAAACTCTATATCTCCAGGTATATCGATATCTATAGCTAACTCGATATCTCCAGGTATATAGATAGCTATAGTTACTCTATATCTCCAGGTATATAGATAGTTGTACTAAACTCTGTATCTCCATGTATATAGATAGCTATACTAAACTCTTTATCTTCAGGTATATCGATAGCTATAGTTACTCTATATCTCCAGGTATATAGATAGTTATACTAAACTCTATATCTCCATGTATATAGATAGTTATACTAAACTCTATATCTCCAGGTATATCGATAGCTATAGTTACTCTATATCTTCGGTATATAGATAGCTATATTTACCGTGGCGATGAACTAACCTCCCTGATGTCGGCCTCGTTGGAGAGCACGTCTGTGAGGGCGCGAAGGTCTATGTCATCGAGCGTAGAGAAGGCGGCGTGTCGCAGCAGGTCTGAGTCAAGCTCCTTGAACGTCGCCACGCGGTTCACTGCTACACTGTCATAACAATCGTGTTTGTGAACACGCTATTTTCTTTAATTTTCTCTTGCCTGAAGTTAAAACAGCATCGAGAAATTTAATTAGAATTTACTTTCACTGATCTGAAATTCAAACAGCATCGAGAAATTTAGCTAGCATTTATTTTCACTCACCTGAAATCCAAACAGGATCGAGAAATTTAGCTGGCATTTACTTGCACTTACCTGATATCCAAACAGGATCGAGAAATTTAGCTGGCATTTATTTTCACTTACCTGAAGTTCAAACAGCATCGAGAAATTCAGCTAGTATTTATTTTCACTTACCTGATATCCAAACAGGATCGAGAAATTTAGCTAGCATTTATTTTCACTTACCTGAGGTTCAAAGAACATCGAGAAATTTAGCTAGTATTTATTTTCACTTACCTGAAGTTCAAACAGCATCGAGAAATTTAGCTAGCATTTATTTTCACTTGCCTGAAGTTCAAAGAACATCGAGAAATTTAGCTAGTATTTATTTTCACTTACCTGAAGTTCAAACAGCATCGAGAAATTTAGCTAGCATTTATTTTCACTTGCCTGAAGTTCAAACAACACCGAGAAATTTAGCTAGCATTTATTTTCACTTAACTGAAGTTCAAACAGCATCGATAAATTTAGCTAGTATTCATTTTCACCTACCTGAAATCAGAACAGTATCGAAAAATTTAGCCAGCATTGAATACTCATTTATTGTCTTTCAACTTTGAAAATATTTGCAGTTCATTCAAAAAGCTAAACTTGTCAATATATTTGATCAAATATTGCTTGCAGTCCATTGAAGGTCAACTTCTTGTTAATAATTGAGGAAATTTTTACTTATCCTGGTCTTTACTGTGGCATAAGTAAATCTTCTTACTGTTTAAATCAAGTTAAAACTAAATAAATTAATCAAAATAGATCAGGACCAGACAATCAAGCACACAACATATAATGTTGTTAGGCAACCTACTAGGTATCTAACGTTGGAATTACGTTGAATAAAATTTTTTATCAGCGAAATAAACTCGTAATCAACGTTTATTCAACGTCATTTGCCTAGAGCAGTGGTTCCCAAAGTAGGTGATACCGTGATACCACCTCCCTGGGGGCGGTGGTGTGATCTATAGGGGCGGTGGTAGAACAGTTAATATTGCTAAAAAATATATTGGTTCACTAAATTGGGTTTTATTTGTGAAATACACATATGTGTTTAACCCTTTCCAGGTATTTGTTTCTACATGTGTCTGTTTGGGGGTGGGGGCGCTAGGAATTCACTGGGTAGCCAAGGGGGCGCCAGTCTGCAAAAGTTTGGGAACCACTGGCCTGGAGGGACTTGCATTTTGGACACCGAAGCTCAAAAATATTGTAACAACTCTGGGACTCTCACTTGGGAGCCTGGGCGACCTGCTGGGTTAAGTCCTGCTCTGAGACCTCTTCCAGGTCTGGTATGGCCGGCATTTCTGTGGGAATAAGTTCCGATTTTATACTGAATGTTATCTTGTTTGAGTTTGAAAGTTTTAAACTCAGATTTTATACTAAATGTTATCTTATTTGAATGTTGTAATCTTTCAGATTTACTAGTGTCAAGTGTTTGTGAAGTAACTCAAAACATTGATAATACTTTTCCCAATTAAGTCAATTTTCCCAATCAGTCAATTTTACCTTATTCGAACATTTTGAGCCATTCTTTTCGATTCAATAGAGTCACGTATATTAGTGTTTCATTCGAGTGAAAATCATAAATATATTTTAGGAATTTAGCAGAAAAATCTTCAATTTTCAATAGTTTAACGATTCGGTTGCATAAATTCATGAACATGAAATATATCTCCGTAAGGCTTAAATTTCAACACATGTTTGTGCCTTGATTACGACAGTTATATTATGGAACGAGTGTCAAGATAACAGAGCGTGCGGGAAATTTCCTTTGGTAAAATCTAGCATGTTTTTATCGTAACACATGAACATGCAGCCCATAATTAAAAAATTAAATCATTGACTTGCATGAAACTGGTTGTCATTTAGACATAATATCTGTTAATAATGATACAATAACCATCACATATGTATAAATCTGAAATAATTTAAAAGTCTTTCATGAAAATTTTCATCACAAGATTATTTCGATAATGGTGACGTAGTAAAATACCAAAAACTAATTAGAATTTTCAAATGAATTCAATGCTAGACTTGTCAATTTACCAAGCAAAGTCAACTTAATAGTGTAAAACGATACTGAATTCGATAAATTTACCAAGAATAAATATTTTCCATTGCACTTACCATCGTCTGAGTTGTCAATCTGGGAGAACCGCGCATCTTCTTCCGGAGGCCCGAATCCACTGAAAATATCCACATTAAAAACTCATAACTATACATTTCTTACTTTTGCTTTGAGATCTGTCAATGTATAATGCATAAATATTCAAAAACCAAATCAAAGTAAACGTAAATTTCAAAAGCCAGACGTAAAACATATATAGTGAATCAAAGATCAAATAAAAATAAACGTAATTTTAAAAGCCAAACGTATAACATATATAGTCAAAAGGAAATCATAAATAATTTTATTTATTATGATTTTGTAAAAATATTTATTAATATTTTTATTTATATTTGAATACTGACGCGAAGCATTGGCAATTTTATTTATTATGATTTTGAAAAAATATTTATTAATATATTTATTTATATTTGGGTACTGACGCGCCCGTTGCTGATGCCGTGGCCCAACCCCCGGCCTTCCTACCCCCTGGCGGCGCTGTGGTGATGGCTTGCCGCTGCACAAGAAACCCATTGTCGACATCATTTATTTCAACCCTTAAATTCATTTAATCAATATCGCTTCAAATACTGGTGATAAAATTCTAACCCTTAAATACTATCAATCAATATCGCTTCAAATACTGGTGATAAAATTCTAACCCTTAAATACTTTCAATCAATATCGTTTCAAATACTGGTGATAAAATTCTAACCCTTAAATTCATTTAATCAATATCGCTTCAAATACTGGTGATAAAATTATAACCCTTAAATACTTTTAATCAATATCGCTTCAAATACTGGTGATAAAATTCTAACCCTTAAATACTTTCAATCAATATCGCTTCAAATACTGGTGATAAAATCTTGATGATTTTTTTGCATCTTATCGCTTATATTCTGGGTAGTTGAAGTTTTTATTAGGCTACAGTGAACTTAAAACGAGTTTAAACATCATAAAATTATTAAAAATTTGTGTCTGAAGATCTTAAATATATTTCATTCAAACCATCAACCAAGAGAATGCAGGGATTTAAAACTTTTTGAACTTTTCAAACTTAAAAAAATTGGAAAAAATTTACGCCTGACTTTGTATATAACTGCCTAGATTTTAGAATTTCATTGCAACAATTGTTAAAAAAGAGCGAATCGGTTTGCTCTTCATTTACACGACAGTGAAAAACTAGAAAATTTATAATTCTTCACAGTTTCCACTTCAGGTGATAATAAAGAACCCATTTAATTGAATAATTGGCATCAATTTCATCCGTTATTAGATTGAACGACAATAGTACATTTTTATATCTCTGCTCCGAACTTGAAATGAATAAAACAAATGTTTTTCTTATTGATATCTTGCTCTCGATTCTGCTACGACAGCTGTCAACAAGGGGTGAAAATAGATAAAACAAATACTTTTCTTATTGAAACATTGCTCTCGATACTACTACGACGGCTTTCAACAAGGCTTGAAAATTGATGAAACAAATACTTTTCTTATTGAAATATTACTCTCGATTCTGCTACGAGAGCTGTCAACAAGGCTTGAAAATTGATAAAACAAATACTTTTCTTATTGAAATATTGCACTTGATTCTCCTACGATAGCTGTCGCAATGGTTAGATTATTTCGTCAATTATATTACACGCAAAATTATTTTTGTCACCTGCGGAGAAGCAAAAATTTCGTCCTCGATGTGTTCCAGAGCTGCGCTGCCAGCAGCACGACGTCCTTTCATCGGTGAGCCCTGTAAAATAATGTTAAAACTTTCAGTACTTTTTTTCAAAAACTAGCTCTTATTTGAAACAAATTCCTTTATTCATGACTGTTTCAAGCTTATTTAAATGATATATTTATTGATGAATGAATGTTATTTATTAATACTGTTTTCAAATACATCTTTACGCAGGTACAAGTAATATATTTGTTTATGTGTATATAGCAACCAATAACTCTCACTTTCAATACTTCTACATTCAACGACATTATAACTTTCCCATCAACTATACACTTGACTCCGAATATTTCACGTATTTACATGGAGAATTTAAAAATTCTCAATCTCCAGATGCTAAAATTCCATTTATAAATAGTATATGTTGTTTTTTAATGCTTCTATGGTTATCATGTAATGGCAACAATTGCAAGAAGTTTAATTATTAAAACATTAACCATAAGATTAGATAATCACTGCCTTCTTTTCAGTGCATTTAATGGAATAAATAACATATGAATTTTATCTGTTTGAGATAGAGTCGCCATTAGAGATTTAGGGTCGAGATTTGTACTGATCATTTGGAACCTAGTGATTTGTTGGATAAAATATAATAAACAATTAAATCGATAAGAAAACTATAGATAACATTACAACATCTGTGATGGTATTTTATATAACATAAATAATCTTATACATTCCAGAATGGACTCAGTCTAAATTAGTACTTAAATTTTCAATCTTAATCATTGAACATCACATCAATTGATCCCTGTATATTATGTTAATGATTTAGGAAAATAAATGGAAGCTAGCTTTACTAAGTCACCTTACGAGACGCTAGGCTGAATTCAAAATTACTTAAGTCGTCCCGTTGTGTTATTTGCCTGATGAAATTCATTTTGTTTGTGAACTATCGAATCGAATTTACGTGAAAATAAGTTAAATTTCTAAAGTATATCACTGATTTTCCTTCCGAGATGCATTCACTGCTCAAAAATTGTCGGTGATCACAATTGTAATATCAATTTGATTGTAATTATAATGCTTATAATTTCAATATTAACTGAACTTTATTAATTGAATCGTGAGTGAAAATGCTATCCGGATCTAAATATATAGTCGATATTAACCGCGCACTGACATGGTTCGTTGCAGCGAGAAACTTTACTGAATTTCTCTTTGGCAGTTGACGTGTTGACGCTGCCGTTGTCATGGCAACCAGCACGTTGTCCCGAAGGTGTGCACTTTAGTTCCTGTGAGTTAAATTATCGAACTGTTTTATTTATCTACAGAATACGATTTTAAATGAAGAATGAAGCATACCAAAATAAAGAGAATATTTTATTATGTAATTTTTCGTCTGGGATGGAAACACATTTTTTTATTTAGATTCGACAATTAATAACATTTATTCGGTGTCACGGATGTGAACATGTACGGCGACGCTTCAGTCGAAATATCAAATAGTCAGTTCAACATTCATGTCAACATAAGAGCGTCAAATGCAAAGTTTCCAAGTACGAGGGAAATTGTATTTAAAACTTTGATACTCTGAACCATTCAAAAGAAAATCACTGTCCAAAATCTTTATCAAATTCATCTTATTTCTTTTTATTGTGAAATAAGGGTTAAAAAAACTCCACCTTAGGTAACAGATAACACATGGAGGAAACCAGGCGGTCGAATCATGTTAATTGAACGCACACATAATACCTAATACGCACTTTTTTTGCTGCACTTGGTTACCATGGAAACCCCATATAGCGTTCCAATGCCTGTAGCGTGGTCCTAGTCTCGGCGTAGACATTATATATGACTTGAAATAGTCATACTTCAGACTTAAGTGATTATTTATATAATAAATGAAATGTGAAATTATCTAAGACGTAATATAAAAGGCAATAATATGGAGAAATATAAGTTTATTCTAAAGTTTACTCTGGAAATCGTACGTAGTGTAAATATGGAACCTATGTTTTCATTAACAGCCAAGCCGAATTTGAAATGGTTATTCATACATGGTAAAGTCAGGAGGTTTGCAGGTAAAATTTAAGATAAACTGTACGGAAAGATATATTGCGATAGTGGTTGTCTCATGCTGATTTGAGTTAGTCATAGACGTGTGACGTTGATATTTGTTGCTGAAACTGGGCATCGAGTGAAAAAATACCATAAAATATAGTTAGGCAAATCACGAAAGATATAAAACGGATTTACTTCTATTTCCACGATAAAATTTATTTATAATTTATTTATGATTTTGAACCGATTCCACGATCACATTTATTTCTCGATAGTAAAGCTTATTTGGGGTGCGTTCAGATAATTTTAGAAAATCGGACTTGACAATTTTATGGAGAACGACGAAAGTTTGTTAAATACATAGTACAGTGATTCATGGAATTATAATGAATTGAATTTGTTATTTAATAATCCATCAATAGTTTAGATATTTTCCTGAAAAATTATACAATGTGCTAATCACTAGTCAATTTCTTTCAGAATCGAACAAGTTGCTGCATTTGATCGGAGTCATTACTAAATATGAAATTAAAAGAATTACGTCGAAGTTCACTGTCAACCCTGCCCATAAAAAATTGGCAAATGATTAGAAAAATTACATTTTAATTGAATACGCCAAGCACTGTTAGATGTACTGAATTTTCAGATAATTGTTATAATTTTATTAGGGCTCTTGCACCTGTGCGTCATTCAGAAACGGACGATTGCTAGAATTCACATGAATATTGCTATTTAATTCTTATAGAAGTTTATTTAATTGGATTTCTCATCTTAAGCAACTCGTTACCAAGTTTTATATCAAGCGAGGGCATAGGAACTAAGGGCATGGAGCCCGGCATGGTGCGTCAGCCCGGGCTGCTGGGGGCCGGTCTGCGGAGACCTTCCTCAGCGCACGCCGCCGGCAGGGGGGGCCTCGTTGCGATGGGTAGACCGGGCCCCCCGCCTCGCAAGGTAGGAGTTACCCGATATTTTAGGGACGAAGTAGCAAAGTTACCCGGTATTTTAGGAACAAAGTAACAAAGTTACCCGGTATTTTAGGGACAAAGTAGCAAAGTTACCCGGTATTTTAGGAACAAAGTAGCAATGGTACCCGGTATTTTAGGGACAAAGTAGCAAAGTTACCCGTTATTTTAGGGACAAAGTAGCAAAGTTACCGGTATTTTAGGGACGAAGTAGCAAAGTTACCCGATATTTTAGGGAGGAAGTAGCAAAGTTACCCGGTATTTTAGGAACAAAGTAACAAAGTTACCCGGTATTTTAGGGACAAAGTAGCAAAGTTACCCGATATTTTAGGGCGGAAGTAGCGAAGTTACCCGGTATTTTAGGAACAAAGTAGCAAAGCTACCCGGTATTTTAGGAACAAAGTAGCAAAGTTACCCGATATTTTAGGGACAAAGTAGCAAAGTTACCCGGTATTTTAGGAACAAAGTAGCAAAGTTACCCGATATTTTAGGGACAAAGTATCAAAGTTACCCGGTATTTTAGTGACAAAGTAGCAAAATTACCCAGTATTTTAGGAACAAAGTAGCAAAGTTACCCGGTATTTTAGGGACAAAATAGCAAAGTTACCGGTATTTTAGGGACAAAGTAGCAAAGTTACCCGGTATTTCAGGGACAAAGTAGCAAAGTTACCCGGTATTTTAGGAACAAAGTAGCAAAGTTACCCGGTATTTTAGGGACAAAGTAGCAAAGTTACCCGTTATTTTAGGGACAAAGTAGCAAAGTTACCCGGTATTTTAGGGACAATTCTTACATGGTATTATGATCAAACATATGTTGGGTGGAAAATTAATACTTTAAGCAGCGCATACAAACTTAACCGTTGAAACAAATTTTGACCAAAATTCTACATTCTTCCTAACAAATTTCATGAACCTCTCCAAAAAGTCTTCGTCAAAATTATACTTTCTAACATAATATATGAACTTTGATGGGAAATTTGTATTCAATTTCTTCCAACCAAACAAACTAAAAGATTTTTTCACACTTTCTAATATTTCATAAAAAAATACATGAACTTTTTCGGGAAATTCCGGTCTAAATTCAAAATTATTAAAAAAATATATCAACTTCCGCAGGCGGCGGTGGTGGGGAGTGCAGGAGTGCGGGTCGTGAACTGCAGAGATGCACGGCAGCAGCCCGCCGCTGTCGTGGTGTCTGCGCGTGCCTGGGGCGATCTACAGCGCTCCGCTCAAGAGGTTTACGTTTACTCGTTTACGAGGCTGATTTTAATTTATATATTGGTGTAATTAATTCATTTTTCTCAATGAATTGAGTTATTTCGTGATAACTGGTGGGACTTCTTCAAATTTTGAGTTGCCGGCACTCCATTGATTATCACAGAATGTTAACTGCGAACAGATATTTTACTTATCACTGTTGTGCGTTGTATCCGCGATAAGAGACTAACACACGACGGTATTGCGAAGACATCACAAACTCTGCATTATTATGTTCAAAAGAATCGTGATCCGAAATAGTTATAATTGCATTATGTGTGTGTTTTTATTCTTTTATTCATTTAGATTCTTTCAAAGGTCATTAATGTGATTACTTATGGACTATTACTTTCAGGTAATACAAGAGAGCGAAGTAGAGCGAGCGCGTCGGGTAGCGGCGGCCGCGGCTGAGCGCGAGCAGCAGCAACGGCGGCGTCAGGCGAGGTGGCCGCTACGCTCGCACAGCGCACCTCCTGCTCGTACCAACGTATCTTTCATAATTATTCATCTATGAGTAATTTTGGTATCAAGCCAACATCTTCAGAAGAACTGACTGAAGTTATAACATTACTCATATATATATATATAGTGAGACAATGGTATGATGATTTTGCTATATAGAATCATGAGTTTTAGCAAATTTAATCTTGCAGCTCGAAGAGCAATTTTTGATTTCTACCACGCTCCGAAATCTACCCCACCCCGGATTTCTAACCCACTCCGAAATCCGCCATACTCCAGCTCGTACCAACGTATCTTTCATAATTATTCCTCTTTATATGCGTACAATTTATGACCAGAGTATGCATCACAATTATCAAGAAGTCGAATTATTCTCTAAATTAATATATATTAATAAAAAGCCTGCTCAGGTCTTGAATCAAACTTGTATAAAAGAAAAGTTTCTGTCGAAATACACCAATAATAACATATTATTATTTGCTAAATCTGTCTTTTAATCTACCAACGTCATCTAAAGAATTATTCCATTCCTTGAAAATTATTATGCATTCTCTGGTCATAAATTCTACGCATATAAACAAGAAAATTTTGCCATCTTATAAAAATTATTCAGCTAAGAATAATTCAAGCCAACATCTTCTGAAGAATTAATTGAAGTTATAATATTAATCATATATATAGTCAGACATTGGTATGATAATTTTGCTATATAGAATCATCAGTTTAAACAAATTTGAGCTTGCAGCTCGAAGAGCAATTTTAGTAAACTTGAATGCTTTAAAAATAAAGTAAATAATTTTTTCCTTAGTGCTGAGCAAAAATGTATTTTATATTTTAATAATATAACAAAAGATTCTTCACTAATTCAAGATACATTTTCTTAAAGCATGATCGAAATTATAGTTTAGTTAATTAATAGTTATTATTTTAAGACAAACTAAATAATTTAGAGAAATTCGCGCTGCAGGTGCTGCTGACAGACGTACAGATGCAGCAGCGCCTGCAGCAGAGAGACGAGGTACGACAACTGCAGCGACAGGTGCTTGCTCTCAAGTGCACTGCCATACGCGAGGCGCAGATGCGCGAGAAGAATAATAACAGGTGCGTAGACTTGACAATAACAGGTGCGTAGACTTGACAATAACAGGTGCGTAGACTTGACAGTAACAGGTGCGTATACTTGACAATAACAGGTGCGTATACTTGACAATAACAGGTGCGTATACTTGACAATAACAGGTGCGTATACTTGACAATAACAGGTGCGTATACTTGACAAGAACCAGTGCGAAGACAAGACAATAACCAGTGCAAATACTTTCTCAATAACAGGTGCCAAAACTTGACAATGAGATGTGCGAAGACCTGACGAGAACAGGTAAGAAAACTTGACAATGACAAGTGCAACGACTTGTTAAAAAACAGGTGCAAAAGCTTGACAATAACTGGTGCAAAGATTTTTCAGTGACAGGTTCCAAGCCTGACAATATCGGGTGCGAAGACTTCACAATAATAGATACGAAGACTTGAGTATGATTGTTTTACAGACTCACGCAGAACATTATTTGCGTTCGCACCTGTTATTGTCAACAGATGCATGAGAAGAGAAGCAATAATCAGCACGAATTTGTAACACAGTAACGCAGTTAATTAATCGTCAATATTGCTGAGTATTTCATCAAGGTTATAATTATAAGCAATTTTTATGACTGTTAATAATAATGAAAAGGAGAATATAATAAATACTGTATACAAGTTTGTTCCAATTATCTTCAGACAGACGGAGCGAGACCAAGAAGCGCGCCTCGAAGAAGCAGTCGAACAGCATCGCAGGAAAGCCGCACAAGAAGATCAGGTATTTACGATAAAGCCGGCTTACAATAGGAACAATCTATTCTAAAAATTAAACTGAACCACATCTTTTTAGCGTGACAAAACATCTACGTAGTCATTATGTGGTTATGGAGCCAAACAAAGCGTAGTTCTGACTAGTATTATACGGTAGATTCTACTGAGTGATGACTTATGTGGCACACAACCGCAACGCAGCACAATGTTGTGTCAATTTTCTTGAACTGTTATTTAGAAGGCAAAAACAAAGGTTCTGGAATTCTTTCAACGGTAAAAAAAGAAGTAATGTGTGATTTTGCTTATGTTTGTTAGCGTCCGGAATTAATTTTAATGCGAGATTGCCCGTTGATGACTCGGAAATAAATCAATGAGGAATTTTTACATCTCCTGTTGCAATGTTACTTTCTATTTTGATAAACATCTATGGATTCATTTGATGTTTTTTTCTAAAAAATGTGGAGAAAAATTGAAAACGATCTTTACAGAATGAAAAGTTTCTTTTTTTATTCAAGGCAATCTCAATGACCGTTATGTTTCCGGGTACTTTAAGAAGATCTTATGAAGTATTCGTGAATGAATAAAGGAATAAATTTCAGTTATTGAAAGGCACATGGATCTTATGAAACTTTCGCTCATTTCAAGGAACTGATGAAATCAATTAATTTCCACAGCGCCGTATGGAGGTTGCTAAAAAGACCAGACAGGTGGCGGCACGCAGCCTGCAGCTTCAGATCGAGGCGCGCAGTCTACAAAAAAAGCAAGAGACGCAAGAAAAACAAAATGTGAGTAAAGGTAGTTTTTGGAGAGTAATTAACGAATCGTCAGTGAACTAAAAAAATTAGTAATGAAATAATAATTATAATGAAAATATACTAATAATATCAATAATAAATAACAATAATAATATAACAATAATATTAATAATAGTTATAATAATAATAATAATAACGCGCAGATTTTTCCAATAACCCATTCAGACATTCGCCCCATTTTCTGCTCCTGTGGACATTCATTTTTCCCGATGAGTTCTATATCATGGCCTGTTTTTGTAATAATTGAAATTGTTTTTCTATGGTGACAAGAGGTATACCTTCATTTCCCAATATTAAATCAAGCAACAATTTTTAATATATAAAAGAGCAATTATTTATCACTGAGCAGGAAGCCATGCTTGCACAAAGACGAGACGAGAGACTCAGGGACGAGCAGGAGCAGGATTTACGACGTCGTGAGCTGAGCAGGCGACGTCAGCTGCTCGATATTCGCCGTCAGGTCGACGATGTCAGAGTCAGGCAGAGACTGGAGAGCGCGCGAGACGCCAGCGAGGAGAGCAAGGTGAGTGTGATTGTTTTGTGCTCGAGGTGTGAGTGTGATTGTCGTGTGCTAGAGGTGAGTATGATTGTTTTATGCTCGAGGTGAGTATGATTGTTTTGTGCTCGAGGTGAGTGTGATTGTTGGGGGCTAGTGGTGAGTGTGATTGTTGAGTGCTCGAGGTGAGTGTGATTGTTTTGTGTTCGAGGTGAGTGTGATTGTTGGGTGCTCGAGGTGAGTGTGATTGTTTTGTGAGGGGTGAGTGTGATTGTTGGGTGCTCGAGGTGAGTGTGATTGTTTTGTGTTTGGGGTGAGTGTGACTGTTGGGTGCTCGAGGTGAGTATGATTGTTTTGTGTTTGGGGTGAGTGTGATTGTTGAGTGTTCGAGGTGAGTGTGATTGTTTATGTTTGGGGTGAGTGTGATTGTTTTGTGCTCCAGGTGAGTATGATTGTTTGAGCTCGGGATGCGAGTGATTTTTTTTTTGTGCTCGTAATTAGTTTGACTATTTGTGAAAATGAGAGTTTTGAGGTCAGAAAGAATATGATAGTAACTAAAATTATGTGCTCAATGCGAGTATGATTGCTGTATGCACAAGGTGATTAAGATTATTGCACGATTAATGATCGTGAATAGTGTGTGGAGTTACAAGATGCAGTGACTTCAACTCTGATCGAATAGGTTGTGAAAAAATGAAGGAATGCGATAGAGAGGCAGCTATAATATTTTTGCAGTGGAATAAAATTATATAATAGGTTAATATTTGCCTGATAGTTATGATTCAGTAGAAATCTCTTTTTTTTCTCTCCAAGTTAGACTAAGTAGTACTAAGCCTATACAACGACTAAGAGTAAGTAGTATATAAAAAATGTAGGGTTTGTTCCATTAAATTTTGTACGATTATACGATTGCTAAGGCAGAAGTCACGTGCTCAGTATCGGAACAAAGTTCTTATCGTTTAAACATTTTTAATTTGTATAAGCGTTAATTAGAATTGCTGTCAAATTTAAGCGTTAATTAGAATTGCCCGAGTAAGCTCACATTCATAAAAAAGTTTTTCCTGTAATCATATATTGTAGTGGAGAATTCAGTAAAAACCAATTTTTTTTTTAATTTTTCTCGAAGTTAAGAAGCATACACTTTTTTATATGAATTTTGATTGCACGTTTTTTTCATTCCTATGAACCTGAAGGCAATACGAGTTGCAGAAGAGAAGAGGGTAGCTGCAGAACGTGCTTCACAGGAGGCTGCAGAGCTGCGCAGACTGCGAGACGAGCAGCAGCACCAGCTTGTGAGAAGCGTCGAGCAGCAGCAGCAGCACCGAGCAATGAAGCAACAACTGCAACAACAGAGGGAGCTTGAATTGGTTGGTGAACTCTTCAGGATTAATAAACGACTTCAACATACAACAATCAATTTATCGAATATATAGAGCACATGGTTAATGCACTGTTAGAAAAAACGGTGAAATAACGGTCCCACCGGCATCCTAGTGGCCTGTCGCCCCGTGAAAATAAACTGTTTCGCCGTTTTTATCAGATGTTTTACGGATATCTGGTGTTAAATTGGAATAAAAACGGTGAAACGGTGTTTCTTTACACGTCCCGACCGGCCACTGAAACGCCGGTATTACCGTTAACGGTCCTTTTTCTAACAGTGTGTTGTCCGTAAGAATCTCTTAAGATACATCGTTTACAGCTAACAGAGAATTAGCATTGATAAGCACATGCAGCCGAGAAAAAATTCATTAAAAATTTATAAATATTTGGGGAAAGTTAGAACGTTCTAGTAAAGAAATATGAACGAACTAAATCTTCTTCACCGTAGCCGAAAATTTCAGAACGAAATTAAGAAAAAATTTTGCAATGATAATTGATTTGCTTTTTCATCTAGAAATGCGGACGCAAAAGAAAAAATAAATAGATAATTAAAAATAATTTTTATTTCAATTAAATGATACGAAAATTTATATTAACTATCCTAATTGTACTGGAAAATTCTTCAAATCGTTACAAAAAATAACAAATAGCTGATTGAGTGATAAAAAAGTGACAACACACAATACAGTAAGAAATGTGAGAGAGATAATCATTCTCAAAACGGCTCTTAAAATTTACTGCCTGTGTCGTTTAGCCTTGATAACCTTTTTTGCCAGAGTGTAAATGTAAGAAAATTGTCCACAGAATTCAGTAATACATCATTTTTGTCTGATAAAAAAGTATTGTAAACAAAAGATAAGATAATATAATATAATGAAATATAATATAATATGACAATGGGAAATTCATTTAAAAATATAATATAATATAATATAATATAATATAATATAATATAATATAATATATAATATAATATATCACGTATATTTACGTATATAACATGGCTGCAGGTGGAGCGCGAGTGGCGAGCTCGGCTGCTGAAGGAGGCGCAGGCGAGACAGGAGCGAGAAGCAGCCGTGGTGAGGGAGAGGGAGCAACAGGTGCTGCTCAGGAGGCAGATGAGGAGACGAGATAAAGAGAGGGAGAAGATGGAGGGAGAAACATACAGTAAACTTTGTGTCATGCCTGGGGCAGATCTACGCGCTACAAGTGAACAAAAGGTGAGTAAGTTACTGATTAATTACATGGTAAAAATAATTGAAATGATTAATAACTAGATTTATTAGGTTTATATTCATATAGGAATAAAATTAACGTAGGTGTTAAAGTTTAGTCTCGAGAAATTAAACATATTAATAAAGGTTTAAAATGTATGCAGAGAAGATTTCAGGCGACATGAAACGATGTTAATTATTGAAGAAAATAACACTAATCGGTTCATTAGTTCTAACGCCGAATCTCTTGTTCATATTAGTAACATTGTGGTTATCTTGAGATTATTTGTTTGCTGCACCGGCATTATCATCTGCAAAGTTTTTAAAACGATGCTCATGTAGGCCGAAGTTTGAAAAGCTTTGGTCGGGCCATTTCGAGTATGCAATTTCCAGGGACGGTCTGCAAATTCAATCCAATACACTGTAATATATAACTGTGTTCAATCCAATACACTGTAATTTAAAAATAATAAAAATAAATGTTCTATTAGAATTATATTCTTAGTACGCAAAATGGGTGTGAAAAGTAAAAATCTAATAATTCTAACTAAATTATCTAAATTATTAGCTTCAACTTCGTTTTCCATTTGAATTGATCATTGCTTCTCTTCATCAAAAAGTAGGTAAAAAATAAACAGGCAACAGTTGATCTTAATTTGAGCACAATAATATAATTAAAGTTGAATTTTGAGTAAACTCAGAGGCATTTTTGGATAACTGAAAATAAAAAATTCAACAAGCATCATAATAGCTCTAGGGAAATTTTGCATGTTTTCAAAATATATGAATGTTTTTCGAGGCTGTGGAATGTTCGATCACTTTTTAATTTGGATAAGTTTATCTTCTGCATAGTGCGGAACTCACATGTTATTTTAGAAATGAGTTTTTGTTTTTAATATATTGATAAAAAATTCTACATATTATTTCATATCATATCAGTGATATCGACGCTGAAGTAGAGGCCTGATGTGGCCTGTAACCGATTCTTGTACTTCTATTGCTTGTTCACAGGAAATCTAAGAACAGGTCCTTCGACCGGATCTTTTCCAAACTGACGATAGTTTGAAATATTTACTAGACTTCCACCAGGTTCGATATGGTGCTAGGCATTTCAAATCTGTGCATATATTTTTCCATAGCTTTATCTCTACATATAGTCTGTTCTTGAACGCGTTTGTACTCGAAGCGCCAACGATGTAATCAGGAAAGTTTTGCCATAATCAGAACATTAATCAAATTAGATTAAATAATTGGTATTCAATCAGTTTTTTTTAATTACAGCGACAATTGGCCATGGACCTACAAGCCCAGGCGTTTGCAGCCCAGGCTAGTAAAGCAGCTGCCGCAGCTGCCTCTGCAGCTGACCTGCGGCAACAGCAGCTGCAAGAGAAGGTGGAGGACGACGCGCTGCGGGCTCTACAGGCCGAGACCATCGCCCATCTCAGGTGAGCACCAACGCAGAGTTGTAGGACATGCAGCGTCAGGTTATAATCCAGGACACATACTTTAAAAAAAGTTAAGGGATCGTAAGTTCATCAGCCAATCGTTGACGGCCTTTCAAGCAAAATTCACCAATCATGGACAAGAAAATAGAGCGTAAGTACTTACGTTCGCTTAGCGAGTTTTGAAAGTATGGCCCAAGGACTTACGTCAGTACAGATGGAGTGACTGGAGGCCAGGCATTGAGTCTGAAGTTGTAGGCAGGCACTAAGTCGTGGGTTCAATCTGAAAACTTGAGCTGATACAGGAACATTTCAGAAATACTAAAGATTTGAAATAACATTGATGAAAGCTAGCTCAACTTAAGAAAGTTGAAAATTTTGATGTGTTTAAATGAACTTATTTCTTGAGGAGACTAATTTCCTCAGCTGAAAATGAATTTACCCATTTTAACCATTTCACTATGACTTAGATTGCAGTATTATTACCTGAATTTGTATTTGTATGATAAACGGTTCACAGTTACATACACCGCGATCATCTTTCATTATAAACAAGCCAGGGACTAGTCAGACCTCGTAGGTTTGCACAAGTAAACGTTCCATATCATAGGGTGTCAGTTCATTTTCTCGGTTAATCTCGAGAGCCTTTATGAATTGCTATAAAACTAAACGCTTTAGTCTAGCTTTCGACGATCATGCATTATTTTATGCATCACTTCCTTCCTCTCGCTCATGTATTAGAATAGAATAGAATAGAATAGAAGTGTCGGCGTTGAAGAAATAGGCCCATGGCCTGTTGCCGATTCTTGAACTTTTCGTGACTTGATTCACAAGGGATCCGGCCTTTGGAACCCGATCTTTCTATAGCTGACGATTGATTGAGACACCTCTACTGCACTGCTCTTCATTTAAGTTATGAAAACAATCAAAACCTGGCAACTGAAATTCAACAGGTACAATTTTCCCCCCGTGATTTTTAAGGAGTGTTTCTGTAATACAAATAATGTCTATCCGCTCGTTTTCAATCACAGTTAATAGTTCACTTCTTTTATTCAAAACGGAATCCGAGTTTGTGTAAAAACATTTTAAAGCTTTTTGTGCACTTTCACTTTGATTCATGCGTTTATTTCTTACATTATTTACAGGCCTGGTTCTATGAACATGACTTCTTACTTGTCTTCCAGCTCCGCTGACTGACCGTGTGCGGCCGGTGGTGTCTTGACATCGTGAAAGTGGTTGACCCGAGTCTCCATGCTTTTCCGCCTGAGTCTCTCCTGCCATTTCTTGCGAAAATTTTCTCTCTCTAAAGGGGTAGCATCCTTCTTAACAAAGACTGAATTAAACTCTGGGAATTCACTCAGTTTTCTCGCAGCCTTAAGCACATGTCCGACCTGGGCTGTATCCTGCACAGTTACAAGCAGCGGTCTACAGGTGGTAGCGTCTTTTGATCGCGTCTCTTGCATGCCGTTATATTCACAACGACGTTAAGTGCATTGGCACAGCAATCAGTAATAAATTCAGCATCTGAAGCATTGCTTTCGGGAACGTTAAACCAAACAAGGTTAAGTCTTCTTCTCTCTCTATCCAGCAGTTCACGAGTGCTCTCGTTGGCGAGATCAGGGATGACCTCTTTGCGGCCTTTACCTTCTGCGTTATCGCTATTTTCTGTTTTGTGCAGATGAGCTTTCATTTCTACAAGCTCGTTTCGTAACGATTGTAATTAGTTACGCAACAAGCTCAATTCTTTCTTGTGGTTCTCCTCCATTTCGGCTCTCTTTCTAAACTCTTGCTTGTTTGTTTCTTCAATTTCGGCTTTAAAAACAGAAAACATAGAAGAGCACTTCTCTTCCACCATTTTTTTGCTTTTTACAGCGCTAAGTGCAGGTTGTTGGCAGTCCTGACAGTACCAGTGTACTGACTTGTTTGTACGAATAACCGAGCAGTCAGTCTTGCTTAACTTTGCACAAATGTTGCAGAGTTGTTTGGTTGTTGGTTGTTTTGGTTGTTGGTTGTTGGAACAAATTGGTTGTTTCTTCTCTACCAGAGGATTATATCTTCTCAATCAAACATTTGAGCCTTAACTCTTAGGTTGCATTTCATCTGGCATAAAAAAAGTTAGACTTCACCCTCTACCGCCTGACACGAGTAACCGGAGCAATATTGTCACGCGTCTACTTCCCAGAAAGGATACGTTCTAGTGAGCGCAAAATGACTTGCACTGATGGTTGCCGCCACGTACGACAACTTTAAAATGCACTCTCTGTTGCGTACAAATGTTCCTCAGGTTGCTACACTCAATAGTTTACGTATAATTTAAGTTGAAAGTTATGTTCCCGGAGAGTGACATAAGGCGATAGAAGGTTAATGGAATAGACAGTATCATATAAGTATAGATTTGACTTTTAGTTCCATTGAGCAGAGAAAAAATTCATTTCATTAGTCTCCAAAAGAACTATTTTTAAATGGATATTGAAATGGATGTTTTAGCATCTCTTGTCAACGCCGCAGAGACATCGGGGTCCCGGGCCGCCTGGTCAAGGAGCTGAAGAGACAAGTGATGAAAACAAGACCTCCACCACCCCCACGACCGCTCTGTAACCTCGGTCCAGTTATTTAATTTATGTAATTACCCTCAAGATACTTCTAAAACTGAATCCAGAAACGAAGGCAAGACGTTCATACACTTGTTTTTAGGATTTTTTTTGAAGGTGTTAGTGCATCTCTCAGTACATTCACGTCACGCACCATTCAAACCTCTTTAACCTACCTCTGAACGTAATATTGTCATGTTAGAATTAATTAGGCCATGTTGGATCGCACCCAATTCTTAACCCATCACAGCCATATTTTTAATCTCGTGCGTTTCGAAGCCCCAGCTTTGAAATTTCATCAATATTATTGATCTTGACCAATCACTTGACCTACTTTTCGGGCTTAAGCTTTATTCTTAAAAAATAAATTATTACAAGCAGTACAATAGTTAAACCTCCCAAAAATAAGCGGTATGATTAGCTATTATGATTACCTATTACGTTTTCATAATCTTTTTTCATCTGTACCTTGTTTGGTGCGGTTTGTGAAACAATGGGGAGCTATTTGGTGTGTTTGATTGGACACGAAAAGGTGCTTATATTATTATTATAATTATTATTATTATTATTATTATTTTATTATTATTATTATTATTAAGATTATTGATATTATCTGCAATATTACTACCATATATTGCATTCAATTTAACCTTAAAGCGTCAATATTATGTGTCAATTGACCTAGAATAATTTTACTAGAATTATTCTAAGTTATTCTGAAAAACTGAAGTACCTAATAACTAAAGTTTTTAAATCCATTTTCAGAGAATTCGGTTAATTCTTCAAGTGGCAATTTTATTTGAGACCGATGAGTAACCGTTGCGTTCAACTAATGTTTATTTTTTAGAAAACAATGCAAGAAAAATAATATTAAATTCAATGTGCTGCTGGCCTTAAATACATTGCAAAGTGTCTTCCATGCTCAATCATAATGATCACTTCAGCTCCCACATTTCATCAGTTCCCGCTTGAAGAAAATTGCATTGCCGCTTGTCTTTCTCAATTTAAAATTACTAAGGAAATAAGGAAAGTAATACAATTTCTACAAAAATATTTCATAAACATTACATCTTTCAAGCTGGAACGTAATGATACGCCCACTTTATCCTGAGTATTAAAAAAGAAGATGTTTCAGGACCATTCATAAGCCACGAGCCGCAGCTTGATCGGCTCTTTTGGCCTTCACAGCTTTATAGCGCTCTCGACGGTGTCGCTGAAGCGGGAGCGCAGCCGTGAGTAACAACATTGACTCGTAAACAGGCCCTGGGCCCAACGCCAACCATCAGCATGCAATATCTACACATAGCCTCAGATCAATGAGCTGCGGGTAACTCCGGCTAACAGTAAATCCGCTTTGCACAACACAGCCACTGCTTCACAGCGCCGGAGCACAACTGGCCGGAGCGCAACAGGCCCTACCGCAACAGGCGGCGCAGGTTAGGTTAGGTTACGTTAGGAGTAGCTGTTGCGGTAGGGCCTGTTGCGCTCCGGTCAGTTGTGCTCCGGCGCTGTGAACCAGTGCCTGTGACTGAACTGCGCTATTGTGGTGGGCGCTATGTGTCGAAAGCCGTGAAGATGCCCGGCTGCGTTACGCTCGGGAAGGTATATGAATCGCACTGTGGACTTGGGCTGTGCTGACCTCTAGCTATCCACCCGCTGAAGCAGCCTTTGATCAGCGACCTTAGCCCTCCATCGAATAAGCTAAGCTCGTCTAACTGAAGTTAAATAATCTATAAAAACACAATTACTTTAATTAATTATGATTATTCTTTACTAACCACAAATACCGTTTTCCGTAGCATCTGATATTCAGTGCCTTGTGCTGAAAACGAAACCAGATCATATCGTGGTAAGGTTATTCTTGGTTTAGGAATTTTTGTTTTTGCCTCATTTGTTGCAAGGCAAAAATAATCATTTTCCATTCAAAAACATCATTAAAAAAGATTGAAATCCGGTACATTTAAATAAAAGATTTTATTTAGTGATCTAGAATCTCCAGCAAATAGTAATGACATCGAGTAGTTATGTTCCGTGGACGAAATCGAAACGCGTTTCTGTACACAGCCATCAAAATCATAATTCTCTGTTGACATCACGACCTGTCATACAGATGCCAAGGAACGCATGCATGGTCCAACTAGCAACATTGCATCAATTTTATACTGATTACATATTCCCTCAGCCTGTTTTCTCATTTCATTTATTTGTGCAGGCAAAAATTTTAGACTTTTCTTTGATGTTATTTCTCTTGCTTTGACATCCCAACCCTAGGGTCGATTATAAGATATCATTCTAGTGTTCATATGATATTGAACAGCGTTTCTAATTTTACTGTTGATTCGTTGCGGATCAATATAGACTTCAAAATCTAATCTTCTGTACGTATTCTTGATGTGTCCAATTTTATTCATTGATAATTATTGAACGACTATCCCGTAATTTGATCGCAAAATACCTAAAATAACCTTAGCGTAGAGACCCGATGATCAAATATTAACAGGAACTCCGTAATTTTGAGTGAAGAAAATTGTTGAATGATCAGTTAGCATTTGACATTGAGTACTATTACCATCCATATAGAACGTAATAAATAAGTAAATGGAGCATACATGAAATTCATATATGAATTAATTGCTCCTTGATAACCTCCATTGAGTTTTCGTAAGTTCTATTTTGTCATAAATCAGCTACGTGGATCATGACTTTTCCTCTGTTTCGGAGGCAATTCCTCTAGACTCTATTATCCCCAGTCTTTTCTGCTAGACGCGTTGTCGTCACTGTTTCTTTTAGTTTGAACAACAATTAGCTGGAAATATTTCTGTGGTATGGATGAATATCGAGAGGCTTTCTATTTAAAATTGAATTACCTTCCCTTTTTATGATACTTCCGCCACCTTAATTGTCACCAGAAGAACTTTTTATTCAAAACACCCAAAATAATTTGTTGTTCTTTGTACCTTTTTTTGTCCCTAAGAACTTGTACTTATTTCTAGATGTCATTTAATACTTGTCTGAGAAGCACCATGTATTATATTCATTTCTCCATTAAAAACATTTCAGTTCTTATGTCTATTTTTGAGAATGAATATGTTTTTACAAATTTCGTAACGCTCAGCTCTTATTCATGGTCAGATTTGCTTCACACTTGAATGTTCCCATACATCGTGAATAATTCTGCACAACTATAAATGAGAAAAGACAATTATCGTTATTACTACATAATGATTCCAAGAATTTATTAGTAACGCTGCAAATTTATAAATTATTCGCCATGTAATTGCAAATTATTTTCATTATCATTTCTCTCTAGCATGAATTTTCACATACAATGAGTCACGGGAGAGGAGAGGCTGCGCATATAAACACTGTTGACTAATAGTGCAGGCAGGCGCAAATTGAAATTAGTGTTGTCAATCAACACTAATGATTGATTGACACTAATCAATCAACACTAATAATCAATGATTGATTGATTGACACTAATTTGTTGTCAATCAACATTAATAGTGTTGATAGACACTATGAAAAAATCAACACTATTGACTAATATCAGTCCACGCCACGAGGATACTTTCATTAATGCATGGACAATGACCGGTTACATCTCTGATTATTTAGCAAAATGTTATAAAAATGCTAGTTTATAATTGTTATAGTTGCTATTTTGATAAACTGATCGTTGGCAATTTCTTGGCATCGCCATATGAAAAATCTTCATTAAGTCTATAATTTGTTATGAAAACCAAAGTGACAATAAAATTTTATTCAAATCATATAACGAATTAATTAAATGTAATATTTAAGTTATCGTAAAGATGCATAGGCTACAAGACGCATCGGGAAGCAAAAATACACATTTAAAAAAATTAAATATAGTTTCTGTTAAAAGAATTTTTAATAATTATTGATTGTTATACGCTCAAACTAAACAAACTGGAAACATTTTGATGTCGTTTGTTTCAAACAGAAGCTTCTTGGACTTTGTTAGACTAACAGCAGAAAACCTGAGGCAAAAAAATATTTCTAAAACGCACGCCAAAAGAAAAACGCAGCCAAATAGACACTAAATGACGCCCACTATGTTAGACACTAAATGACGCCCACAAAAAATTTTCCCGACGAATGATTGTCAGAACAGCATAAATTACAGATAAAATCTCTGCATGTTGAATTTCAATGAAAATAGCATGAAAAAAGCGGCTGAATTTTTTTTTCTCCGAGAACGGATAAGAGCAATTACGTAAAACTCCCTAAGCGAAAATTTTCAAAATCATAAAATCCTTCAAATTGAATTTTATGAGAAAAATAACGTCTGCTTCTCAGTTCTCAAAGTAGGGACTTTAAATGCAATATATTATTTGCCACCGATTGCTTCCTTCTCTCTCTTGTCTTTCACGGCCTTGGCGCTGACGACAGTGTCACTGTGACAGCCTTGCTTCAGGGAGTTGATGTAACGGAGGTTTAGTTCATACAACTGTGGAAATATAATGGATTCTCACTTTAATCGTACATCCTGAGTTCCGTGTAACTAATCACGTTCTTTTTGCTTCATTTGTTTGGTTGATGTTGGTGCGGTTACGCGAATGTATGAGGTATGCAATTGGAAGATTTACGTAGGCCTTAACTGAGATTTCAGGTTACTGATCAAGACGATACAGTGAAAATGCTGCCCCTGACCTTGAATTTTATTTGCGACAAAGGATCTAGCCTTACAAATGTTCTCTCTCTTCTTAGAGAGAAGCCCTCGTGGTTTCCTCGGTTGAGCATTTGATATAGCAACCTTGTAATTAGTAATTATTTTCAGACTTCAACTAAATACAAATAGAAAATAATGAAGATTTTTTCCATGAAGCATTTCTTGCAAAACTCACCATAAAAAATTCGCCGTAGTTTATTACTGTGCCATCTGCTCCTACGTAGACTTGGTCGGGAACGGCGCAGACTCTAAAACCCGTGAAGTCGGATCCCCTGCGGCAAATGATTTACGACAATAACAACTCGATGCTTATTGAATTAATAAAATGTATAAAAAAAAATTTTTAAAGACCACGTTTTTCATGTGGACTCAAAAGTAGAAAATAATTTTTCGGCAGCTACTGATCTCTGTTTGCTTTCATTCTCTTGGTCTTTTGTATTTCAGTTAAAATATTTTACAACATATGAGTTCCTTTAGAGTTTATACGCCTGGAAACGTGCAACAAATTATTGATTATTGTATTGTTATCGGGAGCTGAGCTTCCCTAAAAGTTTCAGAGCGCTAGCTAATGAAAAAGTCGGTGAAATATCGATTGCAAGATTTGATCATCACAGACACGAAAGCGAGCTAAGAAAAACGTGGTAAAATAGCAGAATAGGAAGGATATTTGTACATTGCATCAAATGATCGTAAGCGATAAACATAGTGACCATCAGACGCGTTTATTGGGCAAGGTGACGCTTTTTTAAAAAGACGCGTTTATTTTAATCATTAATTAAATTAATTAATCAGCACCGAATTTTTATGTAACTCATCTGAGATATTAAAGACTAATGAGTTCATGGAAATAAATTGTGAGCACTATTTTTAGCGAACAAGTTATGTTCTTTCGATTGGTTAGAGAATTAAGTAGTAGCAATAGGGGTCAGAAATGTATAAAAATCTTTATCTTATTGGTAAGATAGCCGTCTTGGAAGACGGGTGGTGGTTATTTGGGGTTTGGAGGTGTTTCATTTAATTGGCCCGTTACAAGTTCCCAATATCTCTTGAGATTCCGTATGGGCAACCTTCCTCATTTCGTCTCTCTTGAATTCGAAGATTAAGTCCAACTTCAGCCTTTAGCACGACCCCAAGGACAGCAAACGAGGAGATTCAGCCCGACTTCCAACCCAGCCACATCTTTGCTTTTACTTCGTCTCCGCTATGGAGTGAGACCTTTAGCATGCGACTCGCCTAGGTGGTGGCCTAGAGGCTCGAGGTGATCCGGGGCGACTGCAAGAGATGGTCTGCGTACGTCAGACTCATCTGGGCGAGAGCAAAGGAGAGGACCGGAGATTGCAGGTTGGTTGCACTTCTACTGAGGCTCAGAGTGTTGTGTGACTTGTAACTCCGGCCAGTTTCTCTAATGACAACTGTCTCCGATTCACTTCTCTCTCCCTAAATAATAAAACCCTCCTTGTCTTTCAACGGCGGACATATTTACTTTTATAAATTTATCTATGATTATAAACCAAGTTAATTTGACTATATATTCTTAGATCACGGCCGCCAGGTCAAGAACTTAAACTATGTTTTAAGACCCAAACTTTCGGCGTGTTCTGACCTTCATCTTAATTATTCAGCCGTTGGTATGATTACGAGGTGGGCTGCACGAGACTTTGCGCGTCGGCTCCGCTGTGCTACCTGGCTGTCTCTCGCAGTCCAGGTGGAGCCCTTGTTCCCAATTCAAGAGAACTTCCATCAGACAGCAGCTCAGACCGATCGAATTTCCTTCATAGATCGTTGTAAACTTCAATTCATCGACATTCTATTCTGCTTGAATAAAAATAAAAATATTTTTCGTTATTCTTCTACCGCCTAGGTGGACATTAACTGTTAATTCCTCTGAAAAGGGAAGTCGCGTAGTGAAGTTTTTGTACAAGAAATAATTGAAACAATTAGTTGAAACTACCAAAAAAGTAGGTAAGACTACTTCAATCACTTCACAGCATATTGCTTAACAAGACCAATAGAGAGATACGCAGATACGAGTATGTCATAAACATCATGTGGGGAAATTCAACATCAGCGAGATATTCTTATCTTAACACCTGTCCTAGAGATTACTGCATGTCATGTTTGTGACATACGTCGATATTGGCAATCAACGACTTAATAATAATTTTTAGTCAATAGTCACGTATGCATGAGACGAAGGAAAAGATATCAAGGCGGCATCATGTGATCATCTAATGCTGGAGAATATACGTGTAATTGGTACTGCCAATAGGGCAGATGTTTTGAACGAATGTTGGCACACTTCCTATATTTTAAATAATATTTTCCTCAACCGTTCTATAAAAATACTGCTATCGGGCCATTCTGGGCTCCTGTTGCTGGAGGGAAGACTTACTCAAATAGAGTCCAGCCATCGAAGACTGAAACGACCTGCTGTGCTGGGCTCCTGTTGCTGGAGGGAAAACTTACTCAAATAGAGTCCAGCCATCGAAGGCTCAAACGTCCTACTATGCTGGGCTCCTGTTGCTGGAAGGAAGACTTACTCAAATAGAGTCCAGCTATCGACGCCAGTGATGATAATTGAATACGCGACCATGTCACCGATCGACGACGTTGTTCGGTTGCCTGCAAATTCTTCGCCTGTGTAAGCTTCGCCGTGATAAAGATTGAAATAGGGTTCGTTAAACACGTATGGACTCCCAGCGAACCGGAGAGAAGATGGCTGAGAGAAAACACAGATGGAAACTGGTTATATATTGATAGATTTAAATAAACATAAGGGTTTCTTATTATGAGTAGTCACAATGAGAATTTTTTCGAATTCATGTGGTACGAGCTATTCAGGATTTATTATTATTTTTATTATATTTTGCGATACTATGCGGCGCCGCAAGGTCAGCCTCTGTTCCGAATTGGATGCATGTTTATTAAATGTAAAAGTTAGTTAATCATTGAATGAGAGCAACGAGTCTCATTTGAGCTGGAAGGAAGAACTACAAGTAATGAGCTTAGTTAGTACATTAAACCAATTTCACTTCTAGAGTTTATAGTTCTCTTATTTGAACAATTTTGTTTCGAAAGGCACTCTCCTTGGTCCGGGAGCTGGATTTAATTTTAAAGACAAACAAATATCATTTTTTTAATTTATGTGTTAATGTGTTGGATTTTATTTCAATCTTTATTTTAGGTAAGGAGATGTAACTTACTATGCAGTGTGTATCTAACCACAAATTATTAGTGGAATAAATTAAAAACTAACTTCGTTCGATAATTCTCATTCATTCATTCTACAACTCATTTGAAAACCACGAGCTCGTGTGGCAAGTCTCATACAGAATTTTTTGTGTGATGCCAAGCATTAATTTGCGTGAACTCCGAATAACAATGATCAATAACAATACCATTACAAATATTAAAGATCAAGGTCACTTAAAGAACGCATATAATTTACTTTTGCACGGAATCTGAAGCTTAGTTTGTCCTCTGAGGTACCATTTTTAATTAAAGTACCTCATATGAACTCCTTTCTTAGTGTTTAACCAAATCAGTCAAATAAGGTAAATTAAATTAGCGCTTGAAGTTCATTGCTGATCGTGCCTAACCACTGACGTGTGTAAGATAAATCGTATACATCAGAATTTCATATGAAAAGTCGCCAGACTCGAAGCGCATACAAGGCTAGAAAAAGCAATGATAATTTGCCTTCATACAAATCACCAACTTAAGCTTGAATTCCAGATGCGTACTGGAGCTTAGATAAAGTATAATATAATACTGATCTTTCAATTTTTGTACCTTAGAGCACGATCCCAAATCAGAACAGGTATCGATGTCGATGCTGAGGCATGTAGAGGCTGTATTGTAGCCGATATTGTCATACAATAACCAACTGTTGACAGAAATGGGCTATTAATGAAAGGTTATTTAATGAATATATTACTAAACAGTTCTCACCGCTAAATATCAACTCAGTATATAATTTAAATACTCACAATCCTGTTTGACAGGCTCTAGTGATAGCGTTGTCCATGTTGTAATCACCCAGGTCTGGGGCGTATGTTAGGAAGTTGTAATCAACACCTCCGTCCGTGTATGCATGGAAATGTATATAATTCGTTGCTCTCTCAGCTCCTGTACATTGAGAAGAGAAATTGTATTTGAAAGCTGTTTGAATGGGAAAAACTGAATATATATATAAGAATGTCGAACAATTACCGGACAAAATTGGTAACATTAACGGACAAGGGGTAGAAATCCAGACAAAATCGAGTCCGGTAATTAACTCTGCAATTAGTTTGTACCTAAAAACCGGACACGAAAATAAATGAACTACACTACCGGACATTCTAAAAAACGCCGACCTCGTTAGGTTAGGGTTAGAATTAGGGTTATGTGTGTATAAAACCCTTCTTTACGTTGCTTGACACCTTTCTACTAAGGTTAGGTCCAGCCAGGTTAAGTTCTTTTTACTTTTTTCAAGAATTTTACTTACGTCACTGGGCCAAAAATAAGCATAGTCCGGTAAAGTGCAATTATTGTTACTACATATATACATATATATATATATATATATATTAGTGTAGGCTGGCAGGATTTCTTCTCTTAAGCAAATTTTGTTAAAGACCAGAGAATTAGTTTTATTTATTAGCTTCTTGTTAGTTTTTTCAATAAGTCGTACTAAATTCTTCGTAGGTGTTGGAAGATTGAAAATTAAATTACCGATAGACATTTTTAATATTGAACGACGTTTCGAATGTACAACATTCATTTTACTACCTAATTACCTTAGAAATATTTCAATTTGATTGTTTATCCAATATAATAGTTCCTCGGTATATTGAAGCTAATCAATCCGATGAAAAAATATTGACTCGTAGTACCTGTCAAAAAAACAAAGATAATTCCTAATTTTAAAGGTAAGGGCAAACATAGTATTACAGAAATTAACCATTTACCATTTATTCTGAAAAAAGGCTGGAGTACAACTGCATCGTAAGTTCAAAATCCATTTTGTCAATTTGTCCAACGAAAATTCATAGAACAGATAATCCTGAACTTACAAACTAAAAACAGGACAATGGAAAATAAACACACGCTGATGAAGCTAAAATTTCAAACTGCACAATGAATAGTTGAACGTTGTTAATTCATAAGTGTTCTTCAAATTAAATTTTCATCTACGTTCGAGCAATGTCACTTCCTCAAGATTTTCCTCTCTAATTCACGTCGACTTAAGGGGGGTATGGAGAACCGCCCGAACTCCAAAGCGAGGGTGCTCGCGGTCGCTGCCGTGACTACTATCTTACGTCTGGCCGGCGTGGTGGCGCAGGAATGTCGTGCGAGCCCGTGTCACTGCACCGCAATACACGTCACATGAACTTGAAATACTACGAGCAAATTCTTTGCTATATACAGCGCGACCTTAAAAATATATAAACATAAATTTTATTTTTTATTGTAATTAATTAATTTTAATTATTTTCAGTTTCATATATTGTCATCCCCAGTATATAAATGCATTATATTCAATACTGAAATAATGTCTATGATATTTAATTTAAATAGTATAAATTTCTACACGAAAGACAAATTATCGCTAGATTATTATTTATTTTTTCGTGATCATGTCAATACTATGGGCACGTAAAAATAAGGTTACAGATACGCGCCGAAATTTTACTTAAACTTTTTTTATTTAACTTTTTATTTATTTCATTTTTCGGGTTCAAGCAGGGACGTGCTTATTGTAAAATTCATCATGCAGAAAAATTAATTTAGGCTTTGATACCCATTCTCTCAAATAGATAACATATTTTATTCAGCTTGTGATAAATAAAGTGAACAAGTTATATTACTAGAATACAACTTGTATGTGCATAGACTTGGGAAGAGACGCCCTAAAAGGTGTTAGGCAGCTGAGCTGTTCCCTCACACCCCTCCCCTCTACCCCCACCTCCGATGTGCGGGTATCCCATTTGGTAATGCGAGCCGATGCTTCAGGCCAAGTAGACTGTTTTCGAACAATTATATCCTCATCTACAGTATATAAATGCACAATATTCGATACCGAAATTATGTCGATGATATTTAATTTAAATAGCATAGATTTTTTTACGAAAGACAAATTGTCGCTAGATTAGGTACTAATTATTTTTTTGGGGCACGTTAATACTATAGGCACGTAAGAAGAAGGTTACAGAAACGCGTCGAAATTCTAACTTTAACTGGTAATTAAGATATATTAAACTACAGAGGCTGTAATTCAGACCAATAGTTTCCTCGTACCGACAGCGACACTGGCATGAAGTGCCTCGATGTGTAGTCTGTTAGCCAGCCCACAAAGAGGGTCTGGGTGGGGAGGAGTACTGCAGCAGGGGGATGGAGAGAGAAAGGGAGGTTGTGGCACAGCAATGCGGATTGTTAGAGGGGATGGGTGTGTGTGTAAATTTTATGAGGGTTCATATTCTCATAACGTCTCGGCTACATGACAAAATTCGTGATTTCTCGCATAACGAGTATTCAACATCTACACATCATTGACTGTGCAAGGTAACATGTTATGTAAATTAAACTTTTAAGATGCACTTCCATTCGCTGGGGTCAAAACATCGGTACAAAATCAACGACAATGACATGTATATCTTCTGGTATCCAGGTCACGAAGTAACATTTACTTCGTCCAGTAACTTTCATCTGACCTTGAACTTGGAAGAAGTAGGAATGCCTTCTGTTCAGTATTATTTGATCGTCACCGACTTTTAATTGATTGCATTTTTTAGCAATCACAGCATTTTGTCTTGAAATAACGTGCAGAGCTTGGATATTGATATGAACAACGTGGTCATGATCCACGAGACCGTCTGGGGATGCACCCAAATAAGGAAAGTCTTTGACTACGAAAAAACGCATCTTTTCACTGAGATGCCCATTTTATTTTGTAAGCCTTCTATCGCTGAAGTTTTCCTCACTCGACCCCACGCTCCGGTTCCCGGTTGTTGAACACATCGTGTGATCACCAAAGACGCCAGTGTTCTCGCACACGAACTAACAATGGAAGGCTGTAATTTAAACGTGCCAGGAGGGTAAGGGGGTATGGGGGTAAGGAGGGTGAGGAGGCTGTCCCTCTACCCCCTAGAAAGAGGGTAGACGATCGACTATGCCACTTCACGCTAGCTGATTTATGGCCGCTAAGGAAAGTGTCGCGACAACGTACGACACTTTGACTTGCACGGGGCCAGGTCCCAAAGAAAATGGGAAATCTACGATTCATGAGTGATGAAAAAGTATTTTGTTCGAATATTTCTACAAAATAGAGGGTGATTCAAACATGACTTGAATACCGATCAATAGAGAATAAATAGTACTACTTCCTCATGTCTCTAAAATTTAGGTAAGTCGCATCACTCGCATGTATAATGAACATCGATGTGCAACATTTTACTCTATCATAACTGATGTTATACAAAATTTACATCCATTTTGTAACTGTCGGGAATTTGTAAATAAATAGCTGAATAAGCATGAAAAAAATTAGATTGATAGTTCATTTACGAACGGAGTTATAACGACTATACGTAGTGATAGATTCTCATAGGGATCCAGCCAAGCCTGCCTGAGGGCTCGCGGTTCTCAATCGCAACCTTAAGAGTCTGGTGGAGCGGTCGCTGAACGCAACGTCGAGACCAGACGGCCTAACGCGGTTGAATTTCTCAGACAGGCTCTGCCTTCTAACATCGCCATCCTTCGTCTGGCTGCACACTACCCCTCCTCCGCTTCCCCTCATCCACATTTTTAATCAGCGAGCGACTTACTAGCATAAATACCATAAATTATACGAGCATACCATAATACCATAATTAATACCATAATAACATAATTAATAGAATAATTAATAATTAATGTCATACCATAATACCATATAACCATAATTAACACCATATACCATAATACCATAATTTCATGTCAATAGAAATGCATATAAGTCACGAAGCATCAACAGTAATGGGCAAAAATGTGTCATGGCAATTATTATTTAAATTAGAGCTTTGATTATTATTATTATTATTATTATTTATTTAATTTTAATTATTTACATTATTATTAGAGGAACGGTTCCTTCCTAAGGGTTGAGAGGAGGAAGGGGAGGGTTGGAAGTTATTTATTGCTTTTATAGCCGATGGCCGTGTCAGAGTGCAGTGTGTCCCCTCGTCCCCTCACCGACCTTCTATAACTATACATAACATCATAACTTCTATAACTATACATATAGTTATACTATATATGTATGTATATGTATGAATACTACTAAATGTATACTACTATAACTATACATATTAATGGATTGACTGACGGGTATCATTCATTAATAGATATTGTAACATAGCAATGTTGACTAATTTATAATTTGTACATGCCATTTGTACATGCCTCTACATTCATGCCTATAGTCCATATGAGTGTAGAATGTTAATCTTGAGACGTTAAAAAAGCAACAGTGCAGTAGTTTAAAATTATTGGTGCCTAGAAAGCAGTGAAAAGGTTATATAGAGTTTCAACAGTTTTTCAAGTTTTCTAAAAACTAAAGGAGTAGTTAAGACTACTAAAGAAGTAGTTAAGACCACTAAAGGAGTAGTTAAGACTACTAAAGAAGTAGTTAAGACCACTAAAGGAGTAGTTCTTCGGCGAGATATTCTTATCTTCTTCTTCGGCGAGATATTCTTATCTTAACACCTGTCCTAGAGATTACTGCATGTCATGCTTGTGACTTACGTCGATATTGGCAATCAAAGACTTGATATTAATTTTTTAGTCGATGAGACTAAGAAAAAGATATCAAGGCGGCACTGTGTGCCCATCTAATGCAGGACAAATTTACGTGAAATGGATACTGCCATTTGGGCAGATGCGTTGAACGAATGTTGGCATCCTTCCAATAGTTACAGAATATTTTCCTCAAACCGATCTATCAAAATACTGCTATCGGGCCATGCTGGGGTCATGTTGTTAGAGGAAACTTACGTAAAGACAGTCCAGCTATCGACGCCAGTGATGATAAGTGAAGACACGTCCATGTCTAGGACACCGACCGATGGCGTAGTTTGGTTGCCTGCAAATTCTATGCCACTGTAAATT